AGGGAAGGAGGGGAGAGGAAAAGAGGGAGGGAAGGAAGGGGAGAGGGAAGGAGGGGGAGAGGGAAAGAGGGAAGGAGGGGGAGGGGGAAGGAGGGGGAGAGGGAAAGAGGGAAGGAGGGGGAGAGGGAAAGAGGGAAGGGGGAGAGGGAAAGAGAGAAGGAGGGGGAGAGGGAAAGAGTGGGGGGAAAAAGGGTGAGGGAGGGAGGGACAGAGGGAGGGAGCAAAGTGTGTGTGTGCGTGTGCATGCATGCATGTGTGTGTGTGTACACACGTGTACCTTTGTAATCAAAAGAAAATTGGTTCAAATGTAGTCTCCCTTAATATTAATAGTTGAGGGAAAAACTTCACCTGCCATCACAAGTTTGTTGAGGATCAATTATCAACTGTATGCAGGCCTCACTGCAGCAAAGACTGAGGACCCGAAAACCCCACGCTCCATTAGCTTAGAGACACGGGGGTTACTGTCTGCTGCTGGAAGGCACAGAGGAGGGGAGCCTTAGGGGTGATTCCACTGAGGGGCTCAAAGACATCATCAAAGACCCTGTGTCTTCCCTCTCTGCCCCCTGAGGGCACCTGCAGCAGATTTCCTCAAGGGGATAAGGTGGCCTTGTCCATTCCAGCCTCCACACCCACAGAGTGCACCACTCAGGAGAGTGTCTCTCACAGGAGCAGGCTCACAACAGTGAGGAACTTCCTTTCCTAGAAATGCCCTCCTCCAACACACAAACTTGCCCCGGAGTCTGAAAATGCCACATTCAAGTGGCACAGGCAAAGGGGATGGGGCGACCCAGATGGATTTAGCCTACTCAGACCCACCCAACCAACTTCTCCCAATAACTCCCTTATTAATGTTCCTGAAGCTCATAGGACACACATTGGTTTGCACTGTGGCCTGTCACATGAGGCAATATGGGGGGATCCCCAGCAGGCCCTCAGCAAGGGGTGCAGTGCACTGGTGCTCAATTATTTCCCCTTCCCACCTATTGACAACTGGCCTCCCACTCCCGAGCCCTGAGGCAAACATCAGCAGAAAATTCCACCCCCAACACACATGCCCTCCGTGGAGCAGGGTCTTTGTCTGCTGTGTTCGGTTCTAGAACAGTGCGAGGCACACAACAGGCCCTCGGCAAATGGAGCTTGGTGGAGCACTGGGTCAGCGGGGCCGTGCAGACACCTGCTGCTCTCACAGTCCAGGCTCCTTGTTACTGCCCAGCTGGTGGCCCCAGGATGCAGGGTGGAGGGACATGACAAGACTAGAGCTGTTGGCCACCCCAGCTGACAGCCACTAATGGCAGAGGCACAATGATTAAGGAAAAGGATACAGGCTGAGCCTCGACCCAATATCGCTTCTTGTCTTGAGCAGGGAGGAAAATATCACCTCCCCAACAACTTACAAAGAAATTCTGAAATACTTTTAACAACAAATGTGTTTGCTTATTAATTGCTAGAATTACCCTAGAAGAAAAGGCATGTAAGAGGAGGGACCAGGGATGGCAATTTGCCTCGAGTCCCCATACCTGATATTTTTGCAGTGGAGCAAAGTCATGCGAAGGACGGGCTGCAGGCAGGCTCAGCCTCTCGGCAGCTCTTCACGGAAGGACCCACATGGATGTGCAGCCACGAGGCAGTTTCTCTCAATCTGCAGTTCTTGATCTGGAGCACCTGCTCTTTGACGACAAGAAATGTAATTCATAGAAAATATGATCGGCCGGGCACGGTGGCTCAAGCCTGTAATCCCAGCACTTTGGGAGGCCGAGGCAGGTGGATCACGAGGTTAAGAGATCGAGACCATCCTGGTCAACATGGTGAAACCCCGTCTCTACTCAAAATACAAAAAATTAGCTGGGCATGGTGGCGCACGCCTATAGTCCCAGCTACTCGGGAGGCTGAGACAGGAGAATTGCCTGAACCCAGGAGGCAGAGGTTGCGGTGAGCTGAGATCGCGCCATTGCACTCCAGCCTGGGTAACAAGAGTGAAACTCCGTCTCAAAAAAAAAAAAAAAAAAAGAAAAAGAAAACATGATCTATCCTCACACATGACTTTTTATATCAATGTAACACTCTACACCTCCATTCACTGAAAGAAAAGTTTATAATGCATCTTTAAGGAAGTATGCTTAGATTTGCCTTTTAAAGCTATATATGTAAACCTGTCATTAAAAAAATTAATGAGTGAAGAATTAGGAATTCTATAACAGAAAGACGAAGTAACTTACAATAATAAATGTACTTACTTGGTAAAATCTCAGCTTCAATTCCAACAGAAGACACAATGAAGACAATCAGAATTGCTTAAAACAAATTTGGATTTTAGAAAAGATCGTATTTGACTAATGATTTTTTCTTTTTTTATTGCATCTTAGGTTTTGGGGTACATGTGAAGAACATGCAAGATTGTTGCATAGGTACACACATGGCAGCGTGATTTGCTGCCTTCCTCCCCTTCACCTATATCTGGCATCTCCCCCCATGCTATCTCTCCCCAACTCCCCACCCCCCACTGTCCCTCCCCTATTTCCCCGACAGACCCCAGTGTGTGATGCTCCCCTCCCTGTGTCCATGAGTTCTCATTGTTCAACACCCGCCTATGAGTGAGAACAATGGGTGCCTGACTTTCTGTTCTTGTGTCAGTTTGCTGAGAATGATGGTTTCCAGAGTCATCCATGTCGCTACAAAGGACACGAACTCATCGTTTTTGATGGCTGCATAGTATTCCATGATGTATATGTGCCACATTTTCCTTGTCCAGTCTATCATCGATGGGCATTTGGGTCGGTTCCAGGTCTTTGCTATTGTAAACAGTGCTGCAATGAACATTTGTGTGCATGTGTCCTTATAGTAGAATTATTTATAATCCTTTGGATATATACCCAGTAATGTGATTGCTGGGTTAAATGTAATTTCTATTTCTAGGTCCTTGAGGAATCGCCACACTGGGTCTCACTCTGTCAACCACACTGAATTACAGTAGCTCAATCATGGCTCACCAAAGCCAACCTTCTGGGCTCAAGTGATCTGCCCACCTCAGCCTCCCAAGTAGCTGAGACTACAGGCACCCACCACCAAGCCTAACTAGCATGGTATATTTTTTATAGAGATGGGGTTTTACTATGTTTCCCAGGCTGGTCTCAAACTCCTGAGCTCAAGTAATCCTCCCACTTTGGCCTCCCTAAGTGCTAGGATTACAGGCATAAGCCATGGTGCCCGGCTGACATTTTAAAATAAAGGTGAAAGAAGTGCTATGGTCTGAATGTTTGTGACCCCCAAAATTCCTATGCTGAAATCTTTACCTGCCAGATAATAACACTAGGACGGTGGTAAGCCTGTAAGCCTCTGGGAGGTGATTAAGTCGGGGGCGGGGGAGGCTCCTGAAGGGGGATTAGTGTCCTTATAATAAAGGCCTCAGAGAGCTCCCTTGCCCCATCTATCATGCAGACAGAGGAGTCATCATCTGTGAACCAGGAAACAGGCCTCACCAGACACCAAAGCTGCCGGCACATGGATCTTGGACTTGCCAGCCTCTCGGGCGGTGAGAAATAAATGTCTGTTGTTTATAAGCTACTCAGCATATGGTGTTGTGTTACAGCAGCACAAATGGACTGAGACACAGTCTTACCTACCTGCATCTACATAATCTCTATGGAAATGACCAGTACACACGCAGACTGACACAGGTGTGATTTGCGACTCAAATACCAGGAGTGGACTACTAGGGAGCACGTGCTCTTCTGAAATGATGAATAATTCCTTACAAAGCTCTGAATAAAAACAAAGTCAAAATCTTCCTTTAGTTTACATATAGCTGCATTCCTGGAAAATTCAGTATGTTAAAATTGTGTCACAAAAATTTTTTGTGGTTACCTATAAAACAAATTCTAGGCTTAGAAAATTATAAACAGGTTTTCCCCCTACAGGAATTGTATCATGTAGGTACATGTGTAGTCAGGGGACCATGCTCCAGTGCGCTTGGCTATCCCCTCACAATGCAGGGGGTCTAACCTGCCTGCTCCTTGCCTTCAAAATACTAGACATCCCCTTCCCACCACTGCAAAACCCAAGCACCCTGCAACCCACCCTTCCCCACATCTCCAAATTGTCCCCAGGGGGCAGTGCTGGCCAGCGTTGGGAATCACCGATGGGGACGGAGGAAAGGCTAGGTTGAGCTGAGCTTCGCTCTCCTCTCTGCTGCCTTCACTACCCAAATAACTGCATTCCACGTCATCAGGATTTCTGCTGAGCCAACCCCAAAGTTCTGAAAGCCTCGAAGTGTCTTGCAAGCTTGTTCACAACTCCAGGAAAGAGAAGCAGCCGCATTTCAGGAAGACGAGCAGGCTGTCACTTCCTCTTAGATGACATGCCAAGTTTCCAGAAAATCACCCCCCCAAAAATCAATATGGGGCTAGTGAGTCACTAGTGAGTGATCTGCTAGTGATCAAAGAGAGGGAGAAAAAAAAATATATCCACAGGAGGAATGAATGCAATTCAGGTATCAGCACAAGGATTTTATGTTACACATACACATACACACACACACACACACACACACACACACACACACACAAAATCCCTCCTAAGTTGATTATAAACACAAACATGAACCATTGGCTTCACCAGGAACCTGTGTGGTGACACCATACATAGGTCACCTGCTGCCCAACTGTGCTCACACCCAGTTTTTATCTGAGGCTTACGTTCCACAGTCTTCACGCTCTGAAAACAAGTTGGGTGTGCTTGCTACGGGCTGCGGGAGATGGGACTAGTGAGAAAAAAATCCATACCCCCGTGTGGGATTTCCCTAAAAATGGTTATCCCTTCTCTCAGGGATAAACTTTTCAGAGTTCCTTAGAATATTTTTTTAATCCAAGACCTCCTTTATTTTTGTAGAAATAACCTCAAGTCCTGGAAAAATGCCTTTTTAGAAAATGATACTGTGGATTCATCAGCATTAAATGTGGCGGACTTAAACACACAAAATAGTTGACTGACAATAAACCAGATGATACAATTCAAACTTTTATTTGGCAATAAGTTCAGAGTCACATACACATAAAATCAACATTAGAATAAATAGCAAATTCACATCTAGAATAAATAGCAAGTCTACCTAATTTGCATTCACTGTGCCTGATATCATACAGGCACAATCTGTCATTCCACTAGGTAACTGGAAGAGTCTCCAAAGTCAGAGTTCAAACCTGCAGGACCAAAAATGCACAGAAGCACTGTCGCAGGTCGGGTTCCCCAAAAGCAGACACCAAGGCAGAGACCGGCATGCAGGAAGGTTCACAGGAGAGGGCTGTGGGCTGACCTGGGCTGGGAACAGGCTGGGCACGGGGAGGCACTGGGCTGCAATGCAGCCACAATGAGGCCTCATTGACCCCATAAGGGGCTCTGGACCTGGGATTGCCCTACAGGGTTTCTTTCCCAAGTTGGGTGGGGAAGCCAGCCCTTTGTACCCCATATGGAGCCGGTAAGGGTTACAGGCAGGAAGGGGATGTGATCTGGGGCAGGTAGGGCTCTTCAACAGGGGAAACTCCCATGAGGGCTGGAAGTAAATGGCCAGCCAGCAGCGCTCCCAGCAGTTAGGGGATTAAGTCCTTCAGTCTGGAAAGGTCATCTGGGCAGTTGAGCTCAGCACCCAACACTAGCACAATTACAAACTAAAGCAATGAGAGGTATATTCAACAAGTGCCGAGCCTGATAGCTCAAGTACACACACTGGCCGTACATGTAACGATGCCCAGGAAGTAGCTCATAAGAGAATAGAGTGCACTTATTACCTACAGAACTTCCTGCTCTCTGCATCCCAGCTACGAGGTCATCCATCTGCACCATCTCAGCAAGGGAATCATGCCACTGCTACCAACACAATACATTAGAGCGGGGGCTAGCCAGCCAAGTCCAGCCCAGAGCTTGTTTTGGTAAATCAAGTTACACAGCCATGACCACGGTCACTCCTCGAGTAGTAGTAGCAACACTGAACAGCCTGAAATGCCAAAAATACTTTCTATCTGGCCCTTTACAGGAAAAGTTTGCTGACCCTGCATTAAGGGTACTTCATTCCCGTCCCTTTCTTTAACCCACTAGTAGTGTCAAAGGTGAGCTGAACTTTGAGCTAAGCTCCCAAACACTAAGCAAAAGAAAACCCTGGCACAAAAGGAAGTCGCTATTAAGAAGGCAAAATACAGGTTCTCTAGTAATACAGGTTCTCTAGTAGTTGAATAGAGCAATCAAGGAACCCCGTGTCTGGCCAAATTTGGTCTTAGAGCATTCTAGACAAGGAGCTGCAAGTGGTCTTTGGCAGCAAATGAGCATGAAGAAAAGGAATTCTGTTCCAATATTAAGCAGTCTCTGCTGCTTAAAAAGCCTTTTGAGAAGAGGACAGAAGAAAAAGCTACTTAGTTTGCCCAAAGCTAAATGTGTGTCCTAAATTAACTAGGACACAAGACTCCTTTTCAGTTCTCCTTTGTAATAATTAAGAGCGCCAGTACAGTCAAAGCAGCTAATAATTTAGTCTGTGATACACCCAAATCAGTAGCAGGTGGTTTGTATTACATGCTATTAATGGGAATAGCAGAAAATACTGCTGAAGGGTAAAATGTTTATTTAAAAAAAAAAGAGATGTGCCATGTTAGGGGGAACGTGGGAGATCTAAGGCAAACGACTAAAGTATTTCAAAAGCCAGGTTTCACCCATAAAAAGAACACTGAAAAAGAAAAACTGGCTGTGCAAGTCCCTTCCAAAGGGACCTCCATGGGCCTTGCTGGACAGTCATATTTGTGATGGCTGACGTGGACTGCCCTGGACTCATTACTATTCACATAATTCTTAGAAAATAAGTCGAGGCAATGTTAAAAAGTAATTTTTAAGTATTCAAACCAATTTTGTTTGCTTTACAAAATGATTTTTTAAATGGTTGAAAAGAGATTCATTTCCCTTGTACCAATATGCTTTCATCAATGTGCACACTGGAGAACAAAATGTCCAGTGCAGTGTGCCAGATCCCAGTTAAGAGTCATGACAGGCTGGGCATGGTGGCTCACGCCTGCAATCCCAGCACCTTGGGAGGCCGAGGAAGGTGGATCACCTGAGGTCAGAAGTTCAAGACCAGCCTGGCCAACATGGGGAAACCCTGTCTCCACTAAAAATATAAAAAATTAGCTGGGCGTGGTAGCGGGCACCTGTAATTCCAGCTACTTGGGAGGGCGAGGCAGGAGAATCGCTTGAACCCGGGAGGCAGAGGTTGCAGAGAGCCAAGATCGCATTGCTGCACTCCAGCCTGGGCAACATGAGCAAAACTCCATCTCAAAAAAAAAAAAAAGTCATGACAAGGCCAGGCGCAATTCAAGACCAGTCTGGCCAACATAGTGAAACCCCCTCTCTACTAAAACTACAAAAATTAGCAGGGTGTGGTGGCATACACCAGTAGTCCCAGCTACTTGGAAGACTGAAACACAATAATTGCTTGAACCTGGGAGGCAGAAGTTGCAGTGAGCCAAGACTGCACCACTGTGCTCCAGCGTGAGCAACAGAGCGAGACTTTGTCTCCAAAAAAAAAAAAAAAATCATGACAGTGACAAGTTAAAATCTGTCCCAACTGAGCATAGATAAGGATTAATAATAAAGTGGGATGTGCCTCCGTCCTTCACATGGGGATGGACTGTGCTCAGCCCTGTTACTACCCCGACATGGTCTACAGTCTGCAAAGGTACACAGTCAGCAAGGCTTGGTGGCCCAGATGCCCAGCTTCTGTCACACAGGATATCGTTTTTTTTTTTTGAGACAGTCTCACTCTTTCACGTAGGTTGGAGTGCAGTGGCACAATCTTGGCTCACTGCAACCGTGACCTCCCAGATTCAATCAATTCTCTGCCTCAGCCTCCTGGGATTACGGTGCCTACCACCATATCCGGCTAATTTTTGTATTTTTAGTAGAGATGAGGTTTCACCAGCTTGGCCCGGCTGGTCTTGAACTCCTGACCTCATGATCCACCCCCTCAGCCTCCCGAAGCGCTGGGATATAGGTTTGAGCCACCGTGCCCGGGCCACATGGGAGATCTCAACATTGCCAAGCTCAATGGCAGAGAGACTAAAATTCTTCTAAATGGGAATTATTATAAAACTTATTATTCATACCCAGAAAATGTTTTTCTCCTTCAAAGCCTAGGTCACCTAACCTAAACACTCATGAAAAGAGGTTTTAAAAATAGTTCTACTTCATTCTTGAGTAAACAAAACACCCTATAACTGGCACCTCGTAGGTAACCAATGATATCTGATTAGATAAAAACCAAGAATTATTTTTAAGCCACACCTACTTCCTCGATCTGCTTCTCCAAAGCAGAAACTTGAATCCAAGAGCACCGCGCATTCTTTTAGAACCCCAACACCCAGCAGTTCTGGGCACAACACACACCCATTAAATGTCAGCCTTCAGTACACCCAGATGGTGAAAACACGTAGAAGCAAGCAAACAATTAACAAAATGCCTACCCTGTTCCAAAAACAGAACATACTACTGTGCCTGTGTTTATAATAAAATATAGAAGAAAAGATGCGGGAAACCTTATTGGATTTAAAGGGTCACCTTCACCATTATAGTTAAATACAGCAAAATGTCACAAGTACATCCCACCTGTGACAAGCAGCATTACGAAGGATGCTATGTAACTCGTTAAGTTTCTGCCATCTGGCAAGGAGCCCATGGAATGCCAGGCTCGCATTTCATCGATAGATGGTTACAAACATTTATCACAATAAAAATGTTGAATAAGCAAGCACTCTCCACAAGCTCCCCTCACATTCCTGCCATCCTTTAGATTTAGGAATATATGCACATTGCCGCAAAAGCTTCAAATGAGTATTAGCAATACTAGATCAGGCTAATCTGAACAGAAGTATTTATACAGCCTATGCAATTAAAATAGTATTAGCAGCATCATAACTAATAACAGCAGACATTCCCATAGCACTCAGAGTGCAGTAAATATGCACTTTATGTTGAAGGATACTACAAATGCAGATGCAATTAAGGATTCCTCCCTTCAACAAAAGGAATATATGCCATTTGCACTACCCTTAGAAAGAAGTAAGAAAAGCTCGGTTAGCTAGGTCATATCTATTTCCTGGCTTCAATGTCCTTCGCCCTTTCCCACCTTAGACATCTAAAAGACCAAAAACAAACAAACCCTGCACAAACTCCCAAATAGCCACACAAACACCGCAGGAGAGAAATCAAAGAGGAGAAGGCTGGAGATGGTTAAGTCACAATGGCCACCTTCCTTCTCCCCTGGCAAATCCAAGCACCTCTCAGTTGATAACTCACAGAGAAGCAGGGATCTCGTTTGTTTCCATCTAGACAAGGACTGTTTCTGGTAAATTCCATGTTTTAACAAGATTCCAATTCAACTGAGTGGGTGCCATGGCACAGCACTTCATTTCAAAGATGCTTTTTCCTGGTTCATTTTCTTTCTTTCCATGAACACCATCCTGGTGGTGTGTCCAGGTTTTACATGCTCCTGGGAGACTTACCACAAACGTTTTGGCTCTTCAAACCCACTCATTTCTTGCAATCTTGTTCTCCAGAAGGCTGTTCCGCTAGCTAGAAGGCGATTTTGACCAGAGCTCTCATCTCCTCTCTCCTGCCCATCTCTCTGCTGGGAAGGACACAGGAACCACATACTGAGGACTAGAAGGTCCAGGAGCTGCAATTTCTCTTGTTCTTTCTCACGTAAGTCCTTCCAGGGAGGCTGTGTTCTCTTTGATGCAAGGTGCCAGAATGGCAAAGCCTTAATATCAAATGATTTGGGAACCGGCCACCACTGGAGGTAGGGGGGCCTCTCTGCAACTCATGGCAGCACTTTGCCATTGTGGAGCCCACTAAATCAGCCTTCTGGAAGCAGTTCATCTTTGCCCGTCACTGTGCCCCTGCAGCCCCCAATGAACTGCCCATACATGTTCAAGAAATGTTCCATGGAGGAGTCAAGAAGCATTTCAAGCTTGACCTGCTGGAATACAGAGATGGCATCGAGTGGTCTCGCCCATCCCAGAAAACCTGACGTCAGTTTCAGGACCTCCGTAAACAAAAAGGGGAAATCAGAGTTCCAATGTGAAGCTTGCCTTTCAGCCCTGCATGGCGGGGAAGGCCAGAGGGGTCGGCAGCTAGCTCCCATCTTAACCATTGGGAGAATTATTCTCCATAAGGTACAAAATAAATATCAAAAGGCATATCTGTATCTTTTCCAAAAGCAACACTCAGACTCACATGACATCAACCCCGTCATGCCTGCCAATCAGGGGCAGTCAGTTTCTGGCTTTTACCCCAGGGGCCCTCAGCTACTTGGCCTGGGCCTCCTGCAGGAGAGGGGCTCCGAAGGTGGGGGGCCTTTCTGACCAGGCGGGCAGTTCGTGCTGCAGTGGAGTCCTCCGGGGGTAGAAAGTGTGGCTGACGTCGTAGTTCAGAAGGCAGCTCAGAGACGCCATGTAGATGTCAGCGAAGCGTGAAAGGCGCCTCAGGAAGTAGGTTGGGTTTTGGTCTGTGCGGAAAAGGCTTCCAAACTGGGCGTTGAAGAAGCTTTTGGTCATTTCTCTGAAGGGGCAATAAAAAAGCAAAACAATAGAGAATGATTCAAAAAGGCTTGTTTTTAAACTACTGAAATCAAAATCACTTTTAAAAAAATAAGACTCATTTTACAAAAAAGTTAGCCTAGAACAGGCCCAAATTCTAATTAAGGAAACTGTCTAGGATCAGGTGCAGTGGCTCGTATCTGTAATCCCAGCACTTTAGGAGGCTGAGGCAGGCGGATCACTTGAGGCCAGGAGTTCGAGACCAGCCTGGCCAACATGATGAAACCCCCATCTCCACTAAATATACAAAAATTAGCCAGGCCTGTAATCCCAGCTACCCAGGAGGCATGAGAATCGCTTGAACCATAGAGGTGAAGGGTGCAGTGAGCAGAGATCATGCCACTGCATTCCAGCCGGGGCGACAGAGCCAGGCTCCACCTCAAAAACACAAAAACAAAAACAGTCTGGGCCAGGCATGGCAGGTGGACTTGAGCCCTAGACCACCAGCATGGACAACCTAGTGAGACCTTGTCTCTACAAAAATGCAAAATAATTGGCCAGGCATGGTGCCGTGTGTCTATAGTTCTAGCTACTCAGGAGGCTGAGGTAGGAGAATCGCTTGAGCCTGGGTGGTTGAGGCTGCAGAGAGCTGTGCATTGCACTCCAGCCTGGGTGACAGAATGAGACCCTATCTCAAGAAAGAAAGAAAAAGAAAAAAAGAGGGCTGGGAGAGGGGAGGGAGGGGAGGAAGTCAGTCAGTCAGTCAGCCTATCTTTCCATCCATCAAAGTGATTCTGCAACATTTTCCCTCTTAACTGTCTCAAGGCTCCAGATTCTTGTGCACACTTCTCTACATACACATGCCCCATCTCCCAAACCTATACACGGGATGCAGCAGCTGCTCTCAACGGTACACGGAGGAATACAGAATGTTCTTAGGAGTCTCAACTTCCCTTACAGAAAGGATCAAGACCCCCTGTTCTACAAGGTTATTGTGAGAACTAAGGTAAGCAAAATAAAAGCATGTTGTAAACTCTCACGTGCTCAGCTGTCTGAGGAATTAAGGATTGTTTTATGTGATGCAAATGTCCCCCATCCATTACATACTTCAGGGCCTCCTGGCCTCCTCGAAGGTGAGGTTGCTCACCCTATTCAAGGCCCATAGGCCCCTGCAGTCATCCTTATGTGCACGTATGTCTATATCAACATCCCTATCGTACATACACAGGAGGCACACTCTCTGATGGCTGGAACCCTACAAACAGAGTATTCCAGCAAAACAAAGGAAGACTACTTGACTGTTAATAAGTCATTTACCAACACAGAAAAAAATATAGTCCTTTACACAACCGTGTGCTAAAGCCACTAGTTAGCAGCAGTTAGAATAAGACTCAGACAGTCAACACCCTGAGTGAGGAGGACGAACAAAATGCGATACAGCACTGGCTTCTGCAGAATCTGAGGAATGGACTCATTGCCCCCGTTCCACGCCCTGTCCCCACCCACGCACACCACCACATGCAACCTCAGGTCAGGCTGCCCACTGCTGAGAGGCCAGAATCCCACAGCAACCACTGTTTCCAAGACTCAGAGACAGCTGTAGCCAGCAGCTGGAAAAGGCCATGTGCAAAGTCAGAAAAGTTCACGTAAATGGTGTCAACATGGAAAGCAACCGCCTAGGGAAGCATGATTGTCAGTAGGGGCTCCCTTAAGGCAGATACCCACCAGACTTTTCTCACAGCAGAGAGGCTTTCTTTACCAGTTAACATCCTGCTTACCGATGGCACATTCTTGCAATAGTCACGGTTACAGATAAGCACCAGGGTCTCCGAGCCCTAAGAATTCACTGTGGCTTCAGAGGCCAAATCCAGCGCTGCCCCAACAGCCACACTGTGCCGCCAGCATTATTAACAGCTGGGCCACCAGCTGCCCAGATGGGAAGGTCAGGCAGGCAGGGAGGATGCATGAGATAAAAAGGCTCCCTTCTCCCAAGGCCTTCAACGGCAAGGGCAGAGAAATAAGAGGGGTGACAGCTGGCCTCAAGGAAATGTCACATGTCACCAACAGCAGGTAGCTGATTCTGGATCCTGAGGGAGGCAGACACACCTGGAGCTAAAAAAGGCTATTTTAAGATTATGCCTCAGGCTGGCCTTGGGTGACATGTGTAGGCCCAGCACAGCCAGAACAGGGTGGTGGACTCGCCACATTCAACACAGGCCACTCTTACCTCATCTCCTTCCTTTCCTTTTTCCACTCCTGCAAAACCAGCTGTGACTCAGCATCTCTGTGAACCTGCAAGATGCAAGCGAATTATTACAACTGTTTTGATTTCAAATAAGTTCATTAGGCAATGAGAATTTTTTTTTAATTAGCAGCTTTTCTAGGAGAAATTTTATTCCTTTACATCTCAAAGGTTGGTGCCTGCATGAAATAATACATGTTTCAGACTTTCCAGTTGACACCCTGCCTTCTTCATTAATAAAAAATAGTTTTAAATGTCCAACATTAGAAATGTGGTTTAACAAATTAAGATGAAATATTATGAAGTTATTAAATTATAAAGACTACATATAAACATAATGCATGTATATAGCCACATATGCATAAAACATGTAGGTGATAAATACATGTGTACTAACTGTAATGTACATATACCTAGTACGTTACCTATTATACATAATATATACATGTGTACAAACATTATTAAGTGGAAATAGCATATATACCCACTAACTGTAAGTGTCAAAGTATGTGCCTGCATTTGGAAATTAACATAAAAATTTGTTTTAATTTGTACAAGGGAAGTAGGATTATAAACGAATTAAACTTTATAATTTAATATTATGTTCTGCAAAAGTCAAGAAGGTGAAACACCTCGATGAGAAGGAAAAGCAGAGCATTTTCTGGTGGGCCAAAATATGAGTGAAAGACCAAAAGAAAATGCCAATTGCCCATGATCTAACACATGGAATCTCACAAGTCTCCCTCCAAGGTTCTTGTGGCTAAACAGAAACACTGAGGCCAGACAGAATCCAAGGTGCACATGATCGCAGGGAACAGGCGGGCTCCCTGCAATTCATGACCACAGGGGTAACCTTAGAACCTGGAGGAAAATACCAAGCGGGCAAACCATCTGCTTTTGACATGGGAGCCAAGAACCTTCTGTTTATCACATCTGCTCAGTTCAACAGCTTGACTCTGAAGCCGGAGGCTGCTGAAGGGACGTGCAAAGGAAAAAGGCCCCAGGAAATGGAGTCCAGGGATGCATGCCCGGAAAGGGACCTTGAGTGCCGCCTTCACGCCCTACCTCCCACGGAGCACCCAGCAGCTGCCTGGGGTGCCCTCCTGGCTGCCCTGCCATGAACCTCTCCCACCATTTGTCAGCTCTCTCATAGGAACAACCCTCTCGCCTGCATCCTCCCCATCAGCTGTCAAACATCCTCTAGTCTCTCCCATCAAAAAAAGATTTCTCCCTGTGCCCACCCCCTTGTCCAGCTCTGTCCCCCTACGAGGTCAAACTCCATAAAACAAGAACTTCTGGTCCTGAAATCCACTTTAAAGTATTTCAAAGATGGTATGTGTTCATTAGTTACCACTAATCTTTCAAGTGAAACCATGCACTCTAAAGTGGGTCGTTCACAATGGAAAAGACTAACCAAAGCCCCACAGAGAATGATCCTACAGGCACTTCAGCCATCTCCACCTCCAGCGGTTGTTCATGGGCGTAATCAGCTCTTCACAGCAAAACAGATTGGCTGTGTATCTCTGCCCTTGCTTGAGAAAGATTAATTACACTCTAGCCAGTGCAACAGCCTACATCAGTCCAGCCACTGGCCCATTTTTCTATCAACCTATGAGCTCACAAATGGGTTTTTCTTTTTCAATCGTTGGGGGAAAAAAAAATCAAAAGAAGAATAATTTTATGACAGGCTGGGTGTGGTAGCTCATGCCTGTAATCTCAGCATTTGGGAAGGCTGAGGCAGGTGGATCACTTGAGGCCAGGAGTTCAAGATCAGGTTGGACAACATGGTGAAATCCCATTTCTTCAAAAATACAAAAAAATTAGCTGGGCATGGTGGTGCACACCAGTAATCCTAGCTACTCAGGAAGCTGAGGCACAAGAATCACTCGAGCCTCGGGGGCAGAGGTTGCCATGAGCCGACATCACACCACGCACTCCAGCCTGGGCAACAGAGCTACACTGTCTCAAAAGAAAAAGACATTCATGACATGTAAAAATTAGACAAAAGTCAAATTTCAGCGCCCACCAATAAAGCTTACTGGGACACAGCTACAACCATTCATTCACATATTGTCCACGGCTGCTTTTGTGTTCCAAGTGCAGAGGTGAGTAGCTGCAACAGAACCTACAGCCTGCACAGCCTAAAATATTTACCATGTGGCCCTCTGCAGAAGCTTGCTGACCCGTGGTCAAAATGTGGCCTCTGACTGGTTGGTCACTTGAAAAGCATCTACCAGTGCCAGCACCACTACCGTGAACCACAGCCATTTTGGAATGCACCTCAAGGCTAGCTAACCAAATCACAACCAAAATTTATGTACTTCTATTCAATCTCATTCATTAGATTTGCCTCCAAATGACACTCTGTAAGGTCAGGAATTCGAGACCAGCCTAGCCAACATGGTGAAATCCTGTCTCTATTAAAAATACAAAATTAGCTGGGTGTGGTGGCACACGCCTGTAGTCCCAGCTACTCGGGAGGCTAAGAGGGGAGAATTGCTTGAACCTGGAGGTAGAGGCTGCAATGAGTCAAGATCACGCCACTGCACTCCAGCCTGGGCGACAGAGCAAGACTCTGTCTCAAAAGGGGAAGAAAAAAAACATCAAACAAATGACACTCTGCTGGCTCTGAAAAAATCAAACTCAATCTCAGCGGACCAATTTTTCTCCTCAGAAAACTGTCCAAATAATGTGGTACATGCTCTGAAAACAATCCCCAAGGGGGAGTTCTAGAAACATCTGTCACAGACTCAGTGGAATACCTTGTAACTTTCTGAAGGAACACTGAGGAAGAGGGAGACAGTGAGCTAGGACATTCATGCAGATGTTTCTTTAGTTAGCAGCTACACACCTTTATATCCTAGTGAGTCCAACCTGAAAGAACTCTCTACAAAGTGCCAGAACCCAAGGCAATATAGGTGCACGCGTGGAGCTTGCACCTCCAGTCAGGCCGCCGCTGTGTAAACGCCAGCATCACCCCTCCCTAGACAATTTATAGCTCCTCTGTTCCTCAGGGTCTTCATCAGTAAAATGGGAGTGATGTTTCAGGACCTACTTCAAAGAGTTACTGTGAAAATGAAATGAACTTAAAGGTCACGGTGTCCAGAACACAGTAAGTTCTTAGGACATTTCTACACAGCCTGATTCTGCCAACTGAGAACTGTGACTCTGGAAAAGTTACATATCTCGCAGTCTGTTTTCTCTCCTGTGAAATCGGGTTGGCTATGCAAACATTCATTCCCTTTTCTTCCTTCCCTCACCCTATGCCCTGTATAACTAATTTTACAAATCACAGAAATACTTCCAGCACTTCCATTCTCTGAAACATACATACCTTCATCATCAACTTTTTACACAGGTCAGAAAAACAAAATGAAACCCAAAAAAAACTGTTCCCAAAGCTAACATGTAGTGATGCCATCTACGTGCAGCTGTGTTTGTACATATGACCAGCAGCCGGGGTCACAGAGACTTCACTGAGGGTGTCAAGTCCTTGCCTACACCCCCATCCTCTAAACCAAGGAGGCACATTAGAGCAGTGCACCAAAGAATGGACCTGGGGCCCACACAGGCCTTGGTTCAAGCCTTGCCCCATCATTTTATGATCTCAAACATAAATGGTACCTGACCTCTGAAAACCTGTTTCCTTATTAGAAAATGGGGAAATTGTACCCACTGGCATGGGACAGCTGAATGAGCGATGTGTATAAAGCCAGCACTCAGCACAGTGTGTGGCACATAAAAAGTAACTATTAGTAGTGTATGACATACACACACAGACTCTAAACTACATTAAGTCAGAAGTGATGCCATATATTTTTAGAAAATCATGTCACAGACAAGCATAGTAAGGGAAACAATAAATCCTCATTAGAGAAGAGCCAAGAACTAATGGAGCCCAGTGCATTTGGAAACAAGGCCTAGGGGACGTGCAGGGCCCCATGCTCTGGAATGCATGCACCTGGAGCCAGAATCTGGCCTGTCACTCACAGCCCTACCTGATCTCACTGCTCAGCCACCCCCACATGGAGTGCCAGCTAGGGCTGGCAAGGCAGTTCCCTGCCCATTTCCAAAGCCAGAGGGCAGGCATGGGCAACAGGCCACAGGTTGCAGGTGTGTTCACCAAGAGAGCAAGCATCTGTGCCCTTATCCTAAAAATGTCAGCACCCATGCTGAGATGTGTACAGCCCAGGCAAGCTGGACCCAGGGAGAAAGCAAGGTGCCTCAAGGAACGGGAAAGGAAAGGGACACATGGAGAATTAAGGGGATACAGCAGCAAGAGAGAGGCAGCTTCCATGGGCCAGGAAATGACTGATAAAACTGCCATTCCTCACTAACCAGCCAAAACTGGCTGCCTAACTTAACACAAGGAAGTAACTGCTAGGGAACTCCAGTAAGCCAGCAAACTGCAGGTATTATCCTCAAAATCAACTGAGGCTGGACCCCAGGATCTTCACTCTTGCTTTGAGATTCTCTCCAGTAAGCCATGGGGCCTAGACTGAAGTGTTCCATCCACAGGGCCCTTTATGTCACAGTTGGGGAAACTGAGGCCCAGAATGGCGAAGTCCCACCGTGGCAGACGCAGGCAAAACCAGCACAGACTCAAGCACTGGCAGGGCTTCCTGAATCCCAGTACCCCACAGGAGCGCTCCCCATGGGCTTCAGTGTGGAAGAGAGCACAGTGGATCTTCACTGACAGAGGAATGTGAGCAAACACCTGTATTTACACAGGTCCCACAGACTCTCTAAGCAAAACAACCCCAGTCATTATTCCACAGTCTACTGAAAACAACTTAAGCCTCATACTTTACAACAATTAAGCAGAAAATATCAGAAGCAACTCTGTAACCTCAGGCTTACGGAAACAGTGAGAAGGAAAAAAAAAACCCCAACCTGCATCTGTTCCAATAACCCAGTCAAGGTCTGCAGCCAGGCCACGGTTTGAATGTACTGCTCCGTGTTCATGATTCTGAGCTCAGATCTCAACTCCGGGATGATTGCACCAGTCCTCCAGCCGTGCTTTAGGGTCAAATCCTGATCACAGAGATCACGAAAAGTCAACATCAGTCTCAACAGAATCTAAACTACCATTATTTTCCCAGACATAAGAGGGAAACATTTCCCAGACATTTAAACTTTTTGATGGTAATGGTTAGTTATTAACCAAGCTGAATTCAATGAATTACATTTAATTAAAACTAATTTGACCCCAGCCTTCGATCATTTCATCCCAAGAAAGTTTCTGTTCTGGAAATAATTGCCTTGAGTCATATCCCCTGCAAAAATACCAGGTCTGGAATCATTAACCACGGTCTCTTTAAAAAAAAAAAAAAAAAAAAAAAATGAGGTCAGGGGCGGAAAGGGGCTTGACCTAACTGCTACCAAAGGTCTTCATTCAATTCATCCACAGACCTCTGTGTGCCAGGCCCTCTGGGTTATGGAGAAGCATGGAATCTCAGACTTGGAATGATCACATACAACATAAGCATGCATGATCAAATTTTCCATTCCAAATGTTGTACAGACCAGAATATCTAGTATCAGCTATGTCCTGGAAATCTAAGACAAACAATCATCACACTAAATGGTCATTTTCTCATTTGGCAAATACTCATCAAGCAATACTATCTGTCAGGCCCTAAATACTGAAGATAAAACAATGAACAAAAAACTGAGAAATCCCAGCCCTCATGAAAAATACAGACAACAAATAAGCAAGTAAAATACACAATGGCAGGTGGGGATAAGTACAAGGGACAAAAATCAAGCAGTAACAGGAAAAGGAGAGGAAGCAAGGAGGTTTGCATTTTATACAGGGTAGGTAGGACGACCAGACTAATACAAGGACGAGGTTGGGGAGAGTATGCGAATATGTGGGAGCAGGGAGATTCTGGCTGAAGAACAGCAAGTGCAAAGGCCCCAGGACAGGAACATGCTGGAGGGTGGCATGTTAAGAATCAACAAGTCAGAGAACCTACAGGAGACAAAAGAGAAGGCAGAGACAGGGTATCTTCAGAGAAGTAGGCTGAGGAAGGGGAAATCCAGGGGGCAACCATAGGAATCCAGTGCGCAACCATGGGAACTCAGGCTTTTACTCTGAGGGAGAAAGAAAGGCTTTCGGGTTTTAAGGGAAGAAGTGGTATCTGATTTACAGTTTTAAAGGCTCAGTCTGGCTACTCACCTAAAGCTAGAATCCTAAGCCCTATGTAAGAGTGTAAGAGGGCTGAGGATGCCCATCTTCTTCACTGGTTTCAAAATTTCTTTTCTGTTTTTGTTTTTGCTTTTTTTTAACAGGGTCTCAACTCTGTCGCACGGGCTGGAGTGCAATGGCGCAATCTCAGCTCACTGCAGTTTCTGCCTCCCAGGTTCAAGTGATTCCCCTGCCTCAGCCTCCCCAGTAGCTGCAATTACGGGCGTGTACCACCATGCCCAGCTAATTTTTGTATTTTTAGTAGAGACAGAGTTTCACAGTGTTGCCTAGGCTGGTCTCGAACTCCTGAGCTCAAGTAATCTACCTGCCTCGACCTCCCAAAGTGCTAGAATTACAGGTGTGAGCCACTGCGCCCAGCCCACTGGTTCAGTTTCTTGAAGACTTTGAACATTTCTTTCTCCCATAATACATGAAAACCTACAGCACATTCTTTTCAATATTCCCAATGGTGGCAAATTTTTAAAGGTGGACTTTATTTATGTTTTTTGATGCATTGATAAAGGGAAAAAGAACAATGGTAGTTATTTCTTAATATTTAAATGGAAAGATTATTCTGATAAACTCTTTGGGTGAACAGCTTATTCCCATCATTTCCAAAAAATATTTATCTATCTTTTTCACAGCTATGATCCATTCTGTTCTGTAAAAAGAAATGAGACATTAGACAAATGCAGCCTACTTCTAGGTCGTATGAGAGCATGACGATGGCCTTAAATAAAAGATACATTCTTTAACAAGTGAGACTAACACATCTGTCCCCCAACAAAGGAAAAAAGGGCCCCTCACCGCCAAGTCACTGTATATATGGTCACCAAAGTACAACACTCTGGATCCTCTCCATCCAGTAAGCTTCAAAAACTCATATAAATTACCCTGCAATCAGAGAAAGCTACAGTTATTACACTAGGATGGCCTGTCCCACCCACAGTACAAAATATTTTTTAAAAACTTTTAAAAAGGGTTTTTGTTTTTATAACTTATTTTAAATATCAAAATATAAAGATAAAAGCACTTCCATGGGAAATCTTTCCCTATGTCAAACATGCTGTTCAAGAAGGATTCATATTGTACACACTTCTTTGTAACTATCTTTCTACACTTAACACGCTGTAGTCATCTTTCCATGTCAGTAAATACTAACCTACCAGGTAAGGACAGCAGCTGGGAAGTACCGTGATTCATTTCACCAACTCCCTGATGTTGTACAGTTTACATTATCTATTTTGTAAGAAACTTCATGATAAACATTCTCATAGCCAAGTTGTATTACCTCTATCTTAATAATTTTCTTAGGCTAACTTCCTAGAAGTAAAATGGCCCTATCAGAGCTGTTTTTCTCAAGGCCTTGAAAATATACTCATTGCCAAATCCAGCAGATTGTTATATATCCATCAAGAATATATTAATATCTTTTTTAATGAAACTTAGTAACATAAGAATGGTCAGCAACACAAATTCATTCAAACATTTGAAAGCCTCTTATGACACCAAAATACATTAAAACTGTGCACAGCTCAGGTGTGATGGCTCATGCCTGTAATCCCAGCACTTTGGGAGGCCAAGATGGGAGGACCGCTTGAGCCCAAGAGTTCAAGACCAGCTTGTGCAACATGTCAAGACCCTGTCTCTGCGAAACAATAAAAATTAAAAATTAGCTGGGCATGGTGGTGGATGCCTGTGATCCCAGCCACTGGGAGGCTGAGGTGGGAGAATCGCTCAAGCCCAGGAGGTTGAGGCCACAGTGAGTGATGTTCATGCCACTACACTCCAGTCTGGGAGACAGGGCGAGACCTTGTCTCAATATAAACTGGAAAAAAAAAAGCCAGGTATGGTGGCTCATGCCTATAAATCTCAACACTCTGGGAGGCTGAGGTGGGCAGATCATGAGAGCAGAAGATCAAGACGACCCTGGGCAACGTGGTGAAACCTGGTCTCTTCTAAAAATACAAAAACTAGCTGGGCATGGTGGCGGGCGCCTGTAATCCCAGCTACTCAGGAGGCTGAGGCAGGAGAATCACTTGAACCAGGGAGCTGGAGGTTGCAGTGAGCCAAGATGGCACCACTGCACTCCAGCCTGGTGACAGAGCAAGATTCCGTCTAAAAAAAATCCCACAAAACTGTGTACAAAATATGTTTTTGTCAGAAAATAGTAATTTGAGTGAATAATAGGCCACGAGTAAGTGTTCCTTAAAGAGAAATGTCCAATTCTTACCACTGGCAACTTAAATGTCATACACTATGAAAGTAATGCCTTAAAAATTTTGTTTTAAAAAACTGTTCAATTTTGCATAAGTTTAGATACTAGCATATTGAAAATATATTGACTTAAACCTAAGTTTACCACCAAGTTATAGTCAGTCAGTTCATGGGAATCACTCAGAACTGTGCCAGGCACATGGTAAGCCACAATGAACATCAGCTGTTAGCATTATTACCGACCACAAAGCAAAGCAACAAAAAGGGGAAGCTGGTCATGAGATACCTGCTTGTAAATCTGGCCTTTCTGCAACTTGTGAATTTTATCCCAGAGTAAGACACCTTTCTCATTCATCTTTCGGAAAGGCCTATCAAGAAAAACGGGGAACATTATGACATGGCGTAGTACAGGCTATCCACTCTACGAAATACTAGTTACTCAGGATCTCAGGAAGTAGCTCCCTGCAAAAAACCAAAAAAACTCGGAAACTGAAACTACCACCACATTCCCTGGTCTAATTCAGTATATCCCAAATTATGTGAAGCCCAGGATCCAAAGATGTTTCATGAAAAAAAGAATTCCAGGGGCCAGGCACAGTAGCTCACACCCGTAATCCCAGCACTCTGGGAGGCCGAGGCTGGTGGATCGCCTGAGGTTAGGAGTTCAAGACCAGCCTGGCCAACATGATGAAACCCCATCTCTACTAAAAACAGAAACACTGCAAGCGTGGTGGCAGGCACCTATAATCCAAGCTACTCCAGAGGCTGAGGCAGGAGAATCACTGAATCCAGGAGGCAGAGGTTGCAGTGAGCAGAGACTGCACCACTGCACTTCAGCCTGGGCAACAAGAATGACTCCATCTCAAAAAATAAATAAATAAAATTCCAGGGTCATATAAATTTGGAAAATACCATGCATTAAATATGTCCCTCTTAAAAAGTTATTGATGGCCCCAAAAAACCCTGCTGTAATAAACTTTCTTTCACCCAGATTTCCCCGATCTATTTGACCATGCAGAAAACCTCTTTATAAAGAAAAGTTTATGGAAATACTGCCTTAGTATATTTATCTGGCTTTATACCTAAAATTAAGCCACTCTAGATCAAAAGCAAATCAGAAGACCAGAAGCACTAGTTTATGATGGAAATTGGGAAGTAAGGATAATGCCTCATTCTTCACCCTGAGGGTGCTAGCCCAAAGAGTTTGTTTGCCTTAAGGTAAAAATAAGCTTACCAAAAAAAAAGATGATTTTTTGCCTAATCATAATGCAGAAAAATATAATAAGAAAAGGTAAGCAACCCAGAATTCCAGGACCCACCAGGGATATACACTTAACATTTCAGTTCACGTTTCAGTCTTTTTATAAAATGTATCTTTCTTTCAGACTATAAAATGAGGATCACTTTGTGTATACTAATTTATATCCTTTTTCTCTAATATTCTGAGCAATTTCCCAAGTGATTACATATTCTTAAATACATCATGTTTTACAGTAATACAACATCTTCATTTTTTTCCCCAAATACTTATCTATTCATTTACTGATTTATTTAGGAGAGAGGGTCTTACTCTGTTGCCCAGGCTGAAGTGCAGTGGCACAATCAGGGCTCACTACAGTCTCGACCTCCCAGGCTCATGTGACACTCCCACCTGAGTCTCTCAAATAGCTGGGACTACAAGCATGCACCACCACATACCTGGCTAATTTTCTTTCTTTTCTTTTTTTTTTTTTTTTTTTTGAGAGAGAGCCTCACTCTGTCAACCCAGGCTAGAGTGCAGTGGTGCAAATCTTGGCTCACTGCAACCTCCGCCTTCTGGGTTCAAGCGACTCTCCTGCCTCAGCCTCCTGAGTAGCTGGGATTACAGGCACATGCCACTACACCCAGCTAATTTTTGTATTTTTAGTAGAGATGGAATTTCACCACATTGGCTAGGCTGGTCTTGAACTCCTGATTTCAGGTGATCTGCCAGCCTCGGCCTCCCAAACTGCTGGGATCATAGATGTGACCAGCTAATTTTTAAATTATTTGTAGAGACAAGGTCTCCCTATGTTGCTCTGGATGGTCTCAAACTCCTGGGCTCAAGGAATCCTCTGGCCTCAGCCTCCCAAAGTGCTGGGATTATAGGTGGGAATGATGGCACCTGGCCCAAGTAAATCATTTTTAATGACTGCATAACACCCCCTCATATGGCTATTCCAAATTTAACTAGGCGTCCCCTACTGTAGGGCTGTCAGGCTATTTCTGACCTTTCATTATTATAAATAACACAAGGATGAATACAGACGGAGAATTATTCAGCTCTTAATCCTAGGCTTCCAGAACAAAGACAAAATAGTTGTTGGAGGGAGGGGGCTGAGACACCCTGTTCCCCCATCCAGGGAAAAGAGTCCCAGACTATGCCCCCTCACTTTTCATAAATACGACAAAGCAGAGGAGCTCTCTGGTGAAAAGACAGGGCCCTTCTCCTGACCACACCCTAGAATCTACTAAGAAAATGGTGAGGGCATCGAATCAGTGACTGCAGGGCCCCCAATCTCCCCGACTTCTTCCTCTAGAAGGAGTGCCTTTGACCACTCTGACCCAGTGAGGTACATGTTTTCCTCTGGGTGCTTCAACACTCCCAGGCACTGATAAAGGTGTTGATGTTGCTTCCCAAGACCCTGGAAGAAACTAGCCCTGGCCTGGAGCCAAATTCCTTAAACCCTCTAATAAACTCCACATCCTGACCCCCTTCTGGCAGACACACCTAGGCAGAACATCCCTTTCTCTCCTGTCTGCCAGAGCAGGGGTCCCCGAACCCCAAGCTGCAGATACTAGACCCAAACCAGTTCACGGTCTGTTAGGAATCGGGCCACACAGCAGAAGGCGAGCGTCCAGTGGGCAAGCGAGCATTACCACCTGAGCTCCACCTCCTGGCAAATCAGCAGCGGCATTACATTCTCATAGGAGTGGAACCCTATTGTGAACTGCACAAGCAAGGGAGCTAAGCTGCGTGCTCCTTATCAGAATCTAATGCCTGATGATCTCAGGTAGAACAGTTACATCCCGAAACTATCACCGCACCCCCGCAAACCTGGTGGAAAAATTGTCTTCCATAAAACCGGTCCCTGGTGCCAAAAAAGTTGGGGACCCTTGTGCCAAAGGATACGCCGCAGCCCACTCTGTAAGTCCATTCCTCTAATAAGCACTTTGGACTGATGGCCCTAGCATTTAGTGCTTCTTTCTTTGGAATCCCAACCAGACCCATCACGGGATGGTTTGGGGCTGTCCCATGTATGAACTCCCTTGCCACTGTCTTTGTGATGACTCTGGTCACCAGTCAGTGGGACAAAATAGTGACAAAGCAGCAAGCCATAGCTTACAGCTGTTTTTCATCACACTCTAGTTTTTCTTTCATTTTCTTGAATCCCACCCAGCATGTTTCAGTCCCTGCACATGGCTGTTTTGCCTCTCCTTCCTGGAGTCACTGTGACACTTGGAAAACTGGGACAAGCCGAATTTAAAGCACTAACTGCAGGGTACCACAGTCTGATGCTTTAAATACCTGCTTACCAGCTATAGAATAAACATGGGGGCAAAACTGTTTCAAAAACTGGCCATTATTATACAAATATGAGTTATTTTTTTTTTTTTTTTTAGAACCCTACTGCAGTGATTCTCAACACTATGGATATTTGCAAGAAACAACTCTTGGTGAACAGGCCCGTCCCACACATTAAAAGATATCTTAGCATTCCCTGATCCCTACCCACTCAATACTAACTGCACACTCTGTCCCTGTCACAACCTGAAACTTCCCTGCTTCCGCATTCCCATGGCTACAGTGGCAGGAAGATATTAAGACATAATAGAGATTAACTCTACGTGATATAAAATCTGTGTTGCAGAGAAGCTCTGCAAAATCCAACTGCAATTTTAAATGCACCAATGAGAGCTCTATTTAAAGAGCCACCCAACAGGCAGCTCTGTTGTTGCTGTTGTTTTCTTTTGCCCCACGATGTGTCTGCATTTAAAGATCTAATTTACTATATGATATTAAGTGTGGCTTTTTCATCGCTGCCAATCATTTTCTTCAACACTAACTCATGGGTCTGAAGCAGCCCAAGTTGAACTGAGAACCATTTCAATGTAGGCAAACTGTCTGTTACATACATATCACCCTCCTTGCTAGAAGAGTTAAAACTCAAAAGCTATAATCTCCCATTCTTATGATTTCGCAACTGTATTTTACCAAGACACACCATCTATATATTCACAGCAGCAAAGGAATAAAATCTAGTCCCCCAGAAAAGTAGACACTCACCTCCGTTTATCATTAAAGAAGTTTGGCTTCTCAGCCTGAACAATGACCACATCGAACAGGTCCCTCCAGTCTTTCCCAACGATATACCTCATCCCTTTGTCCCTAGGGCAACAAGTCAGCCAGGTTAGTCTAACATTAAAGGGATTAACTATGTTTGTAACTTTCTCTTTCCAACTGCTAAAACAAATGGGATACAAAGAGTGTGCCAGAAGCTAGCAATGAAACACAGAGCAACTTACACAAAGCTACTGGGGCTATTGGTGATGAGAAACATCTTCTTGCCATGATCAGCCAGTTTGGCCAACACTGCACGGGTCTGCTCAGCATAGCAGATGTACTTTTCTAAGAGCAAGAGAAAAATTCACACACAGATTCAGCATGATATTGGTCAACCTGCAAGTACTTTCTCAATGGGGGTATGGGCCCAGCATTCCTAGGCACAGGAGAGGGAATAAAAGTCTTAAAGAAGCTTTGTTCAGTGGAACATGGGTATATCTGGTGCACCAGTCACAAAGACCCTGCCTCTTCAGTCTAGGTGGAAACTAAACGGCTATAGCGGCCAGTGCCTCTCCTTTTAAGTCAGAATTACGTCAAGTTCCAGGACAAAGGGGACGGCTAACATGCCAGGATGCCAAGTCCTTACAGAGCACTCATGCAGCCCCTGCTTAGCACCTGGAATGCAAAGTAAAATGCCGGCACGGTTGCACAAGAAACAGGCTGCAAATCTCTCCGTGGTAACGCTGAGCACATACCAATGTCTGCTTCAATTGCTCTGTACATTATTCCTTTGATGTGGACATCTCGAATTGAATCCTGCAAAAGATACATTTTTAATCAGTGAAAATACAACTGAGAGAGGCTGAGTAACAGTACAGGGTTTCACCATGTTGGCCAGGCTGGTCTCAAAACGATCCGCCTGCCTCGGTGTCCCAAAGTGCTGGGATTGCAGACGTGAGCCACTACACCTGGCCAACTCTGGTCCATCTTCATAGGCAGCCCCTTGTGAAAAGCAAAAGTTTCCATGGTGGTGGTGGCAATTTTCAAAAGAGTGCTTGGGAGAGGTCATTTCTGTGAATAATTCTGAATAAAGTCCCCATGATAGACAGTAATTCTTTTTTTTTGAGACGGAGTTTTGCTGTTGTTACCCAGACTGGAGTGCAATGGCACGATCTCGGCTCACTGCAACCTCTGCCTTCTGGGTTCAAGCAATTCTGCCTCAGCCTCCTAAGTAGCTGGGACTACAGGCACGCACCACCATGCCCAGCTAATTTTTGTATTTTTAGTAGAGATGGGGTTTCACCTTGTTGACCAGGATGGTCTCGATCTCTTGACCTCGTGATCCACCCGCCTCGGCCTCCCAAAGTGCTGGGATTATAGGCATGAGCCACCGCGCCCGGCCTAGACAGTAATTTCTATATAGTATTGTGAGCAAATGATTCCAAGCCATCTGGACAAAGGGAGTTATTGCTCTTTCATCTTTGTACCCTTTCCGTCCCTAGACCCCAAGAGCAAATTCTGCAACACAGGAGGAGAGGCAGAGATAAATAGCTAACAGTTTCCTCCTCTCTCTTTGGTGCCACCAGTAGGGCAACAAACTGGCAGTGAGGCTGTAGCTCAGGCAGAGATCTGGTCCAGGGAGAGGAAAAGGAAGTGGTTAAACCCTTTGTGGGTTCAGGAGTGTGGCAGCATGACAGCTGGCAGGTGACACTGCACAGGGCCTCTACCTGGTGACATTCCTAAAGGCCTATGGAAACTTTCTATGGCCAGGAACAGGAGACAGGGCTGCAGCCAAAACTGCCTATGCCTTACTCAGACTGTTGCTGGGTGATTTCTGTTAAGAGTGACCCCTTCCCGCCGGAGGTCATGGCGCTCGCAAAGGCGAGGTCATCAGTTCAAGGCTAACCTAAGCAACCTCATAAGCTCAAACTGATTGGCAAAAAAAAAAAAAAAAAAAAAAAGAGTGACCCCTTCTGGACTGCAATTTCAACCTTTCAGCACAAGCTGATTCAATTTCATACCAGCAACAGAAGGCAGTAGTTAAATGCAAGTCGGATTGCCTGATTTAAAATCAAGGCTCTGCTGTGTGACCTTGGGCAAGTAACTCAACCTCACTGTGCTTCATGTCCTTATCTATAAAGAATAGTGCCTACCTCAAGGCATTATTAAGAAGATTTAGCAAGTTAACATGCCTAAAGTACTCATAAGAACAGTGCCTGGGACCTAGTAAACTCTACACGAGTATTTGCTCTTGGTGGTAGTAATACCTGCAGTAAAAACCGAGCTTTCAAATCAACATCTCACCTTACCCATGCACAGGGCTGCTACAAGTGATTCTTAAAGATTTTTAAAGACAAAGTATCTGTGCACACGAAAAGGACAGATACTAAATATCTAAATTCAATTTAGATAATATTACATTGATATTGAGAAACTGTAATTCATCCTCTATCTTCCTAAAACCCAGGATTCAGGGCTGCCAAAACTTAAAATTACTTATAAATACATATAACAAAAATATTTTAGTGTGTAAACATGTATCTCTACAAAAATATAATTTAAAATACATATATTTAGGACTATGTGAATCCATATAAACTTTTTTAGTATTAAAAAGTTCATACAGCTTAAAGGACATATATAAATATATAAACATAAATATAACAAATTAAAGTGCATAAATAAATTTATAAATATAAATTATTTGTACAGTAAGTCCTTAACATCTTCAGCAGGTTCTTAGAAACTGCAACTCTATGTGAAACGACAAAAAGCAAAATCAACTTTTTTCCTTGTCAACATTAAAATGACACTGAAATTGGCATTATTCAAGGATTTGTACATAGTTTCATTAAAAGTCACAGTTGCCAAGAACCTATGGGCAACTTTAAGTGAGGACTCTGCGTATGTGTAGGTAAACATTTACATTTGTCTACATCCCCCTACCCCATCCACCGCCCCTCAATTAGGTTCCTGCATGGCTTTGCAGGGCTTCAGAGAGCCACATGGAACCTTTGTGGGCAAAGGAAAAAGGCATCCCCTCTGGGCAACTACAGTGGTACAGAGCTTGAATGTAACCTCTCTGCGTGATGAAGAGGCATCTTGGCGAGGGGTAGTGGCTTAAGTCTGTAATCCCAGCACTTTGGGAGGCTGAGGTGGGTGGATCAATTGAGGTCAGAGTTGGAGACTAGCCTGGGCCAACAAGGCAAAACTTAGTGTCTACTAAAAACACAAAAATCAACCGGGCATGGTGGCAGGCACCTGTAATCCCAGCCACTTGGGAGCTGAGGCAGGAGAATCACTTGAACCCGGGAAGCAGAGGTTGCAGTGAGCCAAGATTGTGCATTGCTCTCCACCCTGGGTGACAGAGCAAGATGCTGTCTCAAAAAAAAAAAAAAAGCAGCAGCATCCCCTTGCTCAGGAAGACTCTGGGGTGAGTGGGTATGGGCTGGACTTCCATCCCTTCATCCCTTTGGCCAAATGCACCAGCCCTGGCCTTGGCCTTCTGGTAAGAAAGGATCAAAAATGGAGATAACAGTGTCAGCACCATCTCGTTTTAATAAAAATCTTGACTGATTTCCAATTCTCCTGATGTAGCAACATCTTTCTTATATACGGTTCAAGGTTAAACTGCATATAAGTTGCCAGCTAAGAGACTATTTAAAACACCTAACCTAGAAAAGAAGTTCATGGTTCTGTGACTCCCACTGAAAGCTGAAACAGACTGAGCACTGTGATCTCCCTGTGGATACAACCTTGACATCTTTGTACAGATGCACAGGCTCGTAATCAATGTTGTTCTTGAGGAAGTATTCATTCACACAGGACAGAAGGGTCATCTCGGGCAGGGAGAAGATGTCCATGAACTGCTTCATCGTGTTTCCATGAGAGCTCTGCAGACAGGGAGGAAGGATGTTTCAGAAACAGGGGCCCAGGCCAGGGGCAGAGCCAGGAGGCACCAGGAACAGCAGGAAGACTTTTTCACTAAGGGAGATTCCTATTTAAAGCCCTCTCCACAAAACAGGAAAGTTCTAATAATAAAAAAGGAAAATGGGCTCACGCCTGTAATCCCAGCACTTAGGAGGCCAAGGCAGGTGGATCACCTGAGGTCAGGAGTTTAAGACCAGCCTGGACAACATCAAGAAACCCTATCTCTACTAAAAATACAAAAATTTGCTGGGCAGGGTGGCGGATGCCTGAATCGCTTGAACCTGGGAGGTGGAGGTTGCAGTGAACGGAGATCGCATGAATGCACTCCAGGCTGAGCAACAAGAGCAAAACTCCATCTCAAAAAAAAAAGTAAAACATTCCCTTTGTTCCTTATCATTCACAACAGAGCTGATGTCTCACTCCAAGTATAACTAGGATATCGCCAGAAATATCCTAATTTCCCTCAGGGTCTAATCACCCTTCCCCTTCCGATTTCTCGTGTACTCAGTCCCACTTCCGGTTCATACTCTTTCAGGAAATACAGAGAAAAGCCAGCAAATTATTGCCCATAATGACATAAAAACTCATGTAACTCTCCTGAACTGGAGCACGCCCTCATGGCCCATATTTGAGCTTAAAAAAGAGCCTTTCTCTGAATGCTTGCAATTTACACTATAGATTCTCCACATCCTGATAAACCCACTGTAAGTCAAAGACGCATTTCTACATCTAACCTACGGAACATCATGGCTCAGGCTAGTCTACCGTAAGCATTCGCAGAACATTTCCATTAGCCTCCATTAGCAAAGCCTATTTTAAATGAAGTGTTGAGTGTCTCAAATAATTTACTGAATACTGTAATTTACGTTGAAATGGTGATGGCTTTGCACCACTGTAAAGTCAAAAAATTCTAAGAAGAATCATTGCAAGTGAGGGGCCATCTGTACTAAGTTTACCAGCTGACTGGGCATCTTCCATTTCATTTTGACAAAGCAAGTGTGTGAATTCATCTAATAAGACAAAAAGCAAAAACTCTGAGTGGAAAGAGAACCACAGAAGTTAGAAATGCAGAGGTTCCCCTGAAGGCAAAAAGGGTGGCTGTGCAGCCACCAATCTCTGGCATTCACAGCCATCGTCACGGGAAGCAGTAGCTGTCACACTGACAGCCCCAACTGTTCTGGAGCCCCATCCAGAAACTAGGGACATTCCTGGATATGGAGTGGCACACGGGGTAGGTACATGGGCAAAAAGAGCCTTCATCAGGTGGGGCTTCAGAAAGGAGGATCATGAAAGAACCTGGGGGTGTCCCCTTCACACACTAGTCTGTCTCAACACACAATCTCGTATTTCCTGCCAATTCCACAGGAACAGCAGGTAAGTTCGACAAGGCCACATTTCAAGAAGGAAAAAGGCTGCTTTAAATGAATAAAGTGCTCCTCCTTACCTTTCCGTAAAAGTCGCTCATCTGCTCCAAGGGCACGTGGGACCCCTCGTACATTTCAATGACTTCTTCATCAGGGACAACACTGAGGCCTCTGGAAAAATCAGATGGTGCACTTAAGAGCTCAACTAGAGAGACCAATGCTTTTCACACCCCTGTGCAGTGCTGGGACTTTTCAACTGAGGTGCGAGACACTGTCATCACTATGAGACAAAATGTGCCACAAGTAAATGCTACAAATATCAGGTAAGATGCTACTACGTTTACTGCTACTGCTGTTCTGTTGGTAACAAGAGCAGGAATAATAATGATAATATTAATAGTTAACACTACATGGCCAGATATGAATTACACCTAGTCATTCCTGTAATTCTGAACAATCCTAGGGGGGAGGCACTATTATTCTTCCCATTTACAGCTGAGGTAACTGAAGCACAGAAAGGTCATGTACGTTGTTGAAGATCACCACGGTAGGAAGTGGTGAGTCAGGATTAGAACCCAGGCCTTCTGGTTCTATGGCCCAGGCTCTTACACCACTAAGGTATAAGGCTTCCTAATGACTTGCTTTGGGGTGGGCTAGCTTTTTTTTTGATGTATTTAATATATTAGGGCAGAGACGGGCCGTTTTTGTCTCCATCAGACATCCTCCTGCCCTCTAATACTCTAGCCTAAGACAGGTGCTGATTTGGTTTGGCTGTGTCCCCACCGAAATCTCTTCTTGAATTGTAGCTCCCATAATTCCCACGTGTTGTGGGAGGGAACTGGTAGGACAGCATTGAATGATGGGGGCAATTTCCCCCATACTGTTCTCGTGGTAATGAATTAAGTCTCACAACATCTGATGATTTTATTAGGAATTTCCCCTTTCACTTGGTTCTCATTCTCTTGCCTGCCACCATATAAGACATGCCTTTCACATTCTGCCATCATTGTGAGGGCTCCCCAGCTACGTGAAACTATGAGTCCATTAAACCTCCTTTTCTTTATAAATTACCCAGTCTCCAGTATGTCTTTATCAGCAGTGTGAGAATAGACTAATACAGGTGCTGAGAATGGCAACTGCCACACCCAAGGCTCAGTGAACTCATGACATGAGGCAGGAAGTCCAATGGCACCACCACCTTGGAGAGGAAATGACCCCGGATGCTTTGTGACACTGAAGGCCAGTTTCCTCCTCTACCATCTGTTTGCCTCTGAAATCTGCAAATGAATCCAGCTCCTCCACATGCAGAAAAAAACAAAAAATGATTGTGAAGTCAGTGGTCTGGGTTTCACTCCTGCCCCTGCCACCAGTGACCTGAGCAGGTACCTTCACCTGTTCACCTGGACTTATCTATTCTTAAGTGTCAGGAGGGGAAACACCTGTTCTTCCACCCCTTCTGTGGAGGAGAAAGTGCTTGAGAAATAGACACCAATGATTAGGAAACTACAGAATGAATGGTACAGGAAATGTCACACTGTGCTATCACAGGAGTATGAATAATTCAAGAAGAATTTTAGTTACTAACACAACAGGTTGCTTAGCATACAAAACCACATGATCCACAGTAAAACCTATGTACGATATCATTTATGTTTTGATATGTAAAGTTAAAAGATCACTTCAACCTCTTTCCTCCCATCTCCATCACCTACATTACCTTAGAAAGTATCTGAGTGGATTAATATTTTGCCGCTGATCTTGATTAACCTGCTACAACTACTGGCCTTTGAAAAAACAGAAACACTGGACTTCCTTTATCTTTGCTCCAGAAATCAGATAAGACACTGGCACTAGGCCAGATCATTCGAGGCAGTGACCTTGGAAATCAGCCCTTGCTGAAAAGCAGCAGTCATGTATCCACACTGCTAAGGCTCTAACACTAGAGAGAAAATATAAAAAGTAAAGTGATTAGGCCAGGTGAGAGTTATTTCTCTACCCTTTGGAAGCCACTGCTGCCCCTAAGGCACAGGCACAGTTACCCAGGCTGCCTCCACAAGAGTGAGGCAACCAAATGGCAGCTCAGAAGCAGCAGTGAAATCTGCCAGCTGAATTCCCCGAGAGGCAGCTGCATCAAACAAAGAGTCACACACAACTGCAGCAGACACAGGCAGACTGTGCAGCCACATCTGAATGCAGCCTCGAGCAGCACTGAAATCGAAGTGGAAGCTCCTTTTGCCCTGCTGCTCCGTGTGAGAAACACGAGGTTAGGGCACAGACCTGAATGCGTCTGCCAGGGCCTCAAATTCCCCGCTCCCTTAATCGCTAGGGATATCACCTTGACAAGTAATTTATCCCTTTCAGGTCTCAAAGTCTTCATTCTTAAAGCAGGGAACTACAAAGGTGCCTACTTCCTGATGTCACTGAGAAGATTGCAGGAGCTACTACATATAGAACAGCTGGCATACGGGAAGCACTGTAGAGAGGTTTCACCAGTGTGGCTGTGATGGGAGCCATCCCAGCTTTTCACAAGGTTCCTAGTAAGAACTTAAAATGTAGGTACAAAGACAGGGCTGTGGTGGGGGACCCCTCTTCACCCCCCACCCATCCAGCAGCACTCACTCCTGTGGGCCAAACATCATAAATTTCACCCTGCTGTAGGGACTGTGGACCTGCATCATGGCTTAGAAACAAACTAAGCTGATAGACGGATACTTTCTTCCCACCTTCTCTCACTCGAGACCCCTTCTGGGGTTAAAGAGAAGTGACCTTTCTGAATGCTCAGGCTCTTAAACCTCTAAGGTATAAGGCTTCCTAATGACTTGTTTGGGGTGGGCTGGCTTTTTAAAAAATGTATTTAACGCATAAGGGCAGAGAAAGGCTGTTTTTATCTCCATCAGACATCCTCCTGCCCACCAATACTCTTCCCTGAGACAGGTGCTCAGAGTGGAAATGGCCACACCCAAGGCTCAGAGGACCAAACCCGTGACATGAGGCAGGAAGCCGGGGACACCGGCCTGTGTTTTGGGCCCTGCGCAGGTATGCTTCATCTTCACAAGCTGCCCCTTACGCAGGCACTGGAATCATGCCTGCTTTACAGAGGAAACCAAGGCTTTCAGAGGGTCCAGAGATTGCTCAAGACCACAAACATGCAAGCCATGCAGCTGGGGTTTGCACCCAGGAAGTGTCAGCGACTCAAGTCCACCTGAAGACCCCTCTCAGCATTGATGCAACGGAGAACTTCCTACAGCCTCACTCTGAACACTCCTTCCCCCGATGCCTCCGTGGCTCTTTCTACTGAGCCTGTTCTTGACACCAAGGGCAGGGTATATACAGGAAACAAGGCAACTCTTCTCCTGTGAACTCCAGGAGAAGAGAGGGGAGAAAGAGCATTTCGGGCTGAGAGGGTGAGGAGAGGACTCACCACAAGCTGGCCGTGGAGGGTGGGTGGGATTTCAAGAAGCAGAGAGGAAGGAAAACTGTACCCTGGCAGAACACCAGCAGGAGCAAGTGCCAGGTGGCGAGAAAGATGTCAAGGTAAAAGAATCCCCGTGCCGTCTTCGCCTGCCTGGCATCCTGCCTCTCTTCATCATAATAGTTCGGGACCAAACACGTGACCCAAGTCATCCTGATGAGATCCGGTCCTGAGACTCCAGCGGAATATACAGACACAAAGCTCCTCTGTTCCTCTTGATCTGGAGCTAGGAGGATGGGGGCCTGGGAGTGCCAGGGGTCGCCAAGGAGGGGCTTGCCTGAGAGTGAGCCAAGCCAGAGAGGAAGGCCAAGAGATGGAATGAGTTCTGACAATAGCGATTTGGACCTCAGAGCCAGCCACACCTGCAAACTCACTCTATCTGTGGGCTGTACAATTAGTGGCCAATATTGTGTTTCTGATGAAGCCAGTTTGAGTTTCAGTCACTTGCAACCAAGAGTCTTGACCAATCTAGTAAGTACAGGAGCTGTGTATGGAAGAAGAGGAAGCGAAGCCTTTAAAGCAGATTGATAAAAATCTCAAACTTAAGCCTAAGCATAAGGCTTAGCCTTTATTCTGTAGAGAGCAGGGAGCCATCCGGGGTTTTGGAGGAGGGGATTATTGGGAGGAATGTTTAGGGAATCAGTCTGACAAGAATGTCCAGGATGGAGTGCACTGCAGCAAGCCCCAAGAACCCAGGAGAGAAGGGGTAAGTGTCTAAGGAGGAGACCGACAGCAGAACAGATGGAGAGACAGAACGAAGCGTCCTGGTGAGGATTTTCACAAACACACATAACCTTGCCTTCTTCGTTCTCTCCCCCACCCCCACCATTGCAATAATAATTTTGGAAAAACATTAAGAGCTATGAGTAGGGGAACGAACGAATGCTCATTTAAGAGGTTTAGAGAAAGAAACAGTAAAAATTGAAATATGTCAAATGTAGCAACAACTTTAAAATATAAGTTAAAAGTAAGTCTGTTGGGAATGGTACAATCTGGAGGTTAACTGAGCCATTTCAAAAGCTTTAAAATGAATGAACAATGTTCACCCAGCAATTTCACTTACAGAGATTTTTCCTAAGGAAATGAGATGTGCACAAAAATGTACTCAATATTTAATATACATGTTACTTATAAAATAAATGGAAAGATTTTTAACTTTTAGGTTTAGGGGTACCTGTGCAGGTAACCTCATGTCATGTGGGCTTGTTGTACAGATATTTCATTACCCAGGTACTAAGCCTAGCACCCGACCCATCAGTTATTTTTCCTGATCCTCTCCCTCCTCCCACCCTCTACCAGGCCCCAGAGTCTATTGCTCCCCTCTGTGTGTCCATGAGTTCTCATCATTTAGCTTCCACCTGTAAGTGAGAACATGTAGTATTTGGTTTTCTTTCCTGTGTAAGATTGCTAAGGATAATGGCCTCCAGCTCCATCCATGTTCCCGTAAAAGATATGATCTTGTTGGAACGATTATTTGTAATTGTCGGTATTAAAACAGATTCACAACCCCCAAAAAAGATGTGTTGAGGGACTCCAACTATCCCTCCTACCTTCAGAAAAGCCACACAGCATAGTGGCCAAGAGCACAGACTCTGGAGCCAGGCTGCCTGGTTCAGAATTCCAGCCCAATTCCAGGCAATTATTTGCTGTGTGACCTTGGGCAAGTTACTTAACACCTCTGGCACTAATAATAGTACCTACTTCACTCAGTTATTTTGAGGACTGAATGAGCTAACTCAAAACCCTTGTAAGAGTGCCTATCCCATGACAAGGCTCAATATTTGCTAGCCACTATTAGTAATATTATCATCATCACAACCACCTCCTCTCCCTTCTGAAACACCATTAAAGTGAGAATAAAAACAGTCACAGGAAACGAGAGCAAAGACATCAACAGACAAGACATTTCCACAAGACACTGGAAAACAAACAGTGGATGCAAAGAAGGAATCTGACTTAACAACACTGAGAACAGAGGCCTACAAGGGGACACCCACCACAAGAACTGATTCCCCACGACAGAGCTGCAGAAAGGCTCAGCACTAGGAAGTCCCAGGAGGCTACTGGAGGATACACACCAGCACAATGAGGGTGTAAAGCCCAAGAGAAGAAGAAAAGGAAACTAGAAACAGAGAAAGTACAAAGGGAAGTCCCAAGACAAGAAACCAAACCAGATCAGACCAGGAGGGGAGAGTCAATTTTTTTTAAAAAGTGACAGATTATTGAAAACATTTGAATTACTGGAAAATATAAATACATGCCTGACACTTGTAACTGAGCATATGTGTAATGGAAAAAAATTAGAGATCTCTATGCAGAAAATTAGACAAACAAAAAATAAGATTATTGTTAAAATCTAAGAAAAACCAAAAAAGAAAGAAACATAATTGCATTGGACTACCTGGCTTAAGAGTGAACCAGCTGGGCACAGTGGCTCATGCCTGTAATCCCAGCACTTTGGGAAACCAAGGTGGGTGGATCACTTGAAATCAGGAGTTTGAGACCAACCTGGCCAACATGGTAAAACCCCATCTCTACCAAAAATACAAAACTAGCCAGGCATGGTGGTGAATGCCTATAATCCAAGCTACATGGGAGGCTGAGGCAGGAAAATCACTTGAACCCAGGAGGCAGAGGTCACAGTGAGCCGAGATCTCGCCACTGCACTCTAGCCTGGGCAACAAGAGGGAGATTGTCTCAATAACCAAAAAAAAAAAAAAAATCAACCAGACAAGACCTTCTGAGTCATAACGTAAACAATGACCGGTACAACCAGGGAAACCTGAGATCTGAATGTGATGGGAGGAATGAGACTGGAGAAGTAGGAGGAGGTGCCAGAAAGCTAAGTCCTCATCTCTCACAGCAGTGACACTGTCCAGAAGCAATAAATTAAAAAATACAAGAACCAACACATTACTTAAAAAATCTAAACACTTAAAAGCTTTTGGGGGCAGAGGGGAGCACAGAAGATTGCTGCCGTCCCCTGACACCTTTAATCCTGTTTGACGGTGACTCAATGCATGTTTCACTTTGATTTTAAAAACAAATGAATAAGCACTAATTTTAACAGTTTGTGAGAGAAGAATGTAAGCTAAAATATGCATACTTTTAAGCATAAGTTGTATATCTAAACACAAATCACACTCCTAAATCCCCTCCCAAATTGGAGAATAAAAAAAGGCAAGATCCTCCATTTTAAAAGTTACAAAGATGGCTGGGCAGGTGGTTCACACCTGTAATCCCAGCACTTTGGGAGGTGAAGGCAGGTGGATCACTTGGAGTCAGGAGTTTGAGACCAGCCTGGCCAATATGGTGAAACCCCATCTCTACTAAAAATACAAAAATTAGCTGGGCATGGTGGCACATGCCTGTAGTCCGAGCTAATCAGGAGGCTAGGGCAGGAGAATCTCTTGAAGCCAGGAGGCAAAGGCTGCAGTGAGCCTAGATCGTGTCATTGCACTCCAGCCTGGACCACATGGCGAAACATCACCTCAAAAAAAAAAAAAAAACAAAGCTACAAAGACTTCCAGCTAAGTGAAGTACTTTTACTAATTCTAATAAATAGGTAAATAAAAGAAAAAAAAATCTCAGTATCGAAACCACCCAAATACCATGGTGGAAAAGAGAACCCGGTTCCCTCAGCCCCATAGCCCTCCTGCTCCAAATCTCCTCACCAGGACCCTCCGTCGGCTTGCCAGCCAGCACCTGTTCTCCCTCCAGTCCTCCAGACTGCTTCCTAAGGCTCTGAGCACATTTCTATCATCACCTCTGTCACTCTGAACTGCAGTCAGGTTTACTTACATGACTTCTAACCCACACTCTGAGCTCCTTGAGGGCATCTGTGCAAACAAAGCCCTTAGCACCTAGCATGGTAGCAGGCCTCAACAAATGCTCTTGAAAAAGTGAGTGAATGAATGAATCATATCCACACTGCAGCCCTCCTCATCACTCAACACTCAGTGGGTCCTGAAACCCAAAGCCCCCTGGTTACTTCACCTGGTAAATTAAATGTATCTCCTCTTCCTCTTACCTGTAGACAGTTCCCAGCTGGATGTAATGAAAAGCATCGATCTTCATTAATACTGCCTTTAAAAACATAAACATATGCACATGTAAATAATGCATAACCATCTGCATATTAAATGAACAATCCAGGCATCATCATAAATCCTATCAACATTAGGCTGCCCTAACAAGGAAGCACACACTGTATGTTCCTGAAAGGAACATGTTGCTTGTTAATTACTGTGCTGTACAGCCATAGAAATGGCCTATCTGCAAAAGACAGAGAAAAAAACAGATATGGCAACTAGTTCCTCCTCAAAACACCAAAAATGACTATTAGAAATAAACAGTACCTCCTAAATAGCTAAATGCATTCATGCTTTTCTAATATATCATCTCTTCCAGAAGATTCTATCCAAAGATATGCGAATAATTTGGTTCTGCAGTCCCAAATAATTAAAAACTCATTTACCTGTTCAGTACAGAAAAGTTCCAAGAGTACATTTCATTTCCAATCATTAAACCGTAGAAAAACAGAAGTAAACCTACCCGCTGTACATCATAATGAAGTCCACGGATTGCAAAATTTGGGTCGTACTCATACTTCCTGATTTCTGCTGGATACTAAGAAAGAAGAAAGGAACTGGTTTTAGCCAACAATGTACTAAGTGCAGGATCCTGTCCAGATCTGGCCCCTGTACAAACGCTGAGGTAGTTGATATAGCAGTGGGAAGGTGGGGTCAGAAGAGGCAGACCACACCTTGTCCCACCACTTCCAGTCCAAGTGCCTCCTGGCAAGCACCCCGGTCAGAGCCTTCCATCCTGCCCCACGCCTCGTCCATCTGCCCAAGCAAAGGCTGGGCCTCCTCCCCTCCCCTGCCAACTTCTCTCAACTCTCTTCTCTCTTTCCCTCCCCTCCCTGTGTCCCTAGATTCCCAGATCCTTAAGACCCTGGTAACATACACATCGGCTTCACCCTCCTTCCATCACTCCCTCCGTTTATCTTCAAGGCTGCTGCGGAGAGGCTGGAATGTCCCCTCTAACACTGGAAGCACAACTTTACGCAGACTCCTTGTCAGCCATCCATTCAACTCATACGTGAGCACCTCAATGTGGCAGCTCCCTTAACGTCCCCACTACCAGGTTTCATGGAGAGACCCAAGGTAAAAACTTCTCAGAATGGGGGCCTCTCCACAGAGCTTTCGATACTCTTCTCATCTGGACAGCTGGCCATTGCTCCCCTCCAGCTGGGGAACCCCATGGCTGTCAGACACAACATTCCCTAAACTAGGCCTAGGGAGGCTTACGGATACTGCCTAGCACTGTCTCAGAACAGCTGTGAGGGCAGAGGATATGGTTTGCGTCCATGTGCCCAGCCAAATCCCATCCTGAATTGCAGTTCCCATCATTCCCACTTGTTGTGGGAGGGACCTGGTGGGAGGTAATGAAATCATGAGGGTGGTTCCCTCATGACTTCATACTCACAAGATCTGATGGTTTATAAGGGGAAATCCCTTCACTTGGTTCTCACTCCCTCTCTTGCCTGCTGTCAATGTAAAACGTGCCTTTCCCTTTCCTCCACGATTGTGAGGCCTCCTCAGCCACATGGAACTGGGGATCCATTAAACCTATTTTTCTTTATAAATTACCCAGTCTTGAGTATGTCTTCATCAGTGGCATGAAAACAAACTAATACAGCAGCCCAGCTCCCCTGGTATATCCTATTATCAAGCCATTTCTCACACTATGCAAAATTGCTGGCTCCTGCTTATCCACTGTAGTATCTTAAGTCCTTACCTCTCTCCCTAAATCTCAGAATTAGGACACCAGCTCCCTGTTGATGGTACTCATCTGTGGGCGCCATTTCTGCTGCTACTACATGGCAGGCCCGACCGTCCCCATTTTATACTGAGGGGACATCCAAGGTTCTGGACGAAACAAGCTGGGGTATGGTGAGTGGGGAATCAGGCTGGAGCCTTCTCCCCTGCTCTCCCTACTGCCCTCTGCCCTTGGAGCACAAGCCTGCAGGACAGAAAGTCTATTCCTGAGTCTAGAGAGATGACATCACCAGGACCTTCCATTGTGATTCAAGTTACTTAAGTTAAAACCCAGACAACTATTCAGATGCCCAGAAACCTCCTTCCATGACTGAGCTGCTAATATTTCATGGCCAATGTTCCATTTGTACAAGAACAATTCCTGGGACCACCAGGCTGACCCATGTGGAGCAACTTTTCAAGTCAAGCTGCATGAAGCACTAACTCGAACATCACATTTGGGATCATTTATCCACTACCTGCCATGTGTGCCAAGAAACCACCAAACTGACATTTCCACTCATGGGCGTTCCCAAGAATTGAGAACACTGTGTATGGTCCTGCGTTTTTGTAGACATACTTCACAAGCTGACAAAGAAACCAACGCCCAGCACCCTGGATCTGCTTACTGAAGCGGGGCCAAGGGACTTCAGCAGCTCTGCAATCTCCTGTTCAATTCATGGCTGATGGATGAGTAAGACGGCAGATAGGAAAGAAATATTTTAATGTGTCACGGACAGAGGTGCCTTCACTCAGCATTTGCTACATGCCACACACTAGACACTGTCTGTGACTTTCTTTATTCCTCACTGCACCAGCATGAAGGAAGCAGAGCATCTCATGCCTATTTTACTGTTGAATAATCTGAAGATCGGGGCAAGATAGTGGTTAAGCCCACTATCTAGCTGTGGGACTTTGGGCAAATTCTGAGGTCGCACAGCTAGGAATTGAATCCAGGTCTGTGCCACATCCAGCTCGACCCCTAACCACCACAGAATCAATTCTGAACCAACTCTGAGCCACCATATACTCAACACTCATTCCCTCCCTGTCACAGCAGCACCTGCCACCTCAGAGGAGCTCAACAAATTTGCTGGAAGGATTTGCAGTTACAAGTGGAGCACTGACTATTTCAGTTGATTGCTGGCACATAAATAAGAGTGTGTGTACTGCTGAAAAGTCTGGTGGTCCTTTCTTTAAATGAAGCTTATCTGGGCTCCCCAGCAGGACACGTCCTCCACACACCCACTTTCCCCTTGCCTCTCACTCTCAATGTTATTCCTCGGGAGCCACCCTGAAAAATACACACAGTTTATCTAATGGTCCGAAGACCATAGTGAGTGACTGTATTAGTCCATTCTCATGCTGCTAATAAAGACATACCTGAGACTGGGTAATTTATAAAGGAGAGAGGTTTAATTGACTCATCAGAGCGCTGGCCCCACATGAAGCACAACTCTCTCACTTACCTGCGGAACGCACAGATACATACATCAAGTGTTTACTGAGTACCTACTTTATGCCACGGTCTGGGAACACAGTAGTGAGCAAAACTGACAAAGGTGTCTGCCCCTGCAAAGTTCCCATTCTACCTGGGGAGGCAGACCATACACAAATACGCACATAGAATATAACGCCTCGGAGTGTATGTTCCACAGGAACATGCAATACAAGCGTTCACGGATCTGGAAAAAAAAGAAAGGACCAGGAGCAAGCCTCAGGCCATCTGGGAGAAGAAAGAGTGCCTCAAGGCACAGGAAACAGCAAGTCCCAAAGGCAGAAGTAGGAAAGGGTTTAGAGGTTCAAGGAGCAGGAAGGGAGGAAGGGAGGAGGGGAGGAGGCTAGGAGGCCCTCACCATGATGGAATGAAACCACACTTCACCTCTGCAGTCTTCCTCCCCAAAACCATAACCCAGGCTAATCATGAGGAATAGGCACACAGCACCTGATTGGCACTCTTCAAAACTGTCATGGTCATTTAAAAAAGCAAGTAAAGCTGGAGAAGCTGTCAAAGCCAAGAGGCGCCTGAGAGACATGACAATTAACTGTAATATGGTGTCCTGGAGGGAATCCTGGAGGAGGAAATGGACATTCAGTAAAAACTGAAAATATCCCAACGAAGTATGGACTTTAGTGAATAATAATGTATCAAGATTGGTTCTTCAGTTGTAAGGAATGTACCTTAGTCAAGTGTTAACACTGGAGGAAACTGGGCATTGGGTGTATACATACAGGAACTCCGTATGTGCAACCTTTCCGTAAGCCTAAAACTATCCCACAAGTTTATTTAAAGGAGAAACAGAGCACAGCATTTGCTGAGAGATCAGACATGGATACAGAGTGTGAGGGGTCACAGCCAATGCTTTGGATATGAACAACCAGGTTATCAACAGTGGCAACTAACGAAGAAAATACAGGCTCAAGTGTGAAGCTGAAAGCTGACATCGAGACCTCTCCTGCCCCTCCCTTGCTATTCCTTGGAGGACAAATAAAATCAAAATACAGACAGTTATTCCTCAATTTTTTGAAAATTTCCATTTTTGTAAAAATTTGTTCTTATTTTTAAAAAAGGGTAATTATGAAGGAGCTGGAACTTTTTCTGTTTGCTTTTTGGAAAGACGCTAAATCGCACATTTACTGTTCTGTGACTGTGCATCTCAAAAGCAGACGTCTTTCCATCTCTACTACTCTCCAAAGTGCATCCGTCTTAGCTGGAAAAATGGCGCTAAACTCAGGGCATCTTGGAAGAATTATTTTGTTTAATCAGAACAAGAGAAAAATTTGTCTAAGCATAATTGACTCTACTAATATGCCTGATACAATTACTATTATAATTTCTTTTAGTTGTATCACAGCAACGAACAGACATGAGAACGAAATTTCAATGATCTTAAATCTAGAGGCTTTTCAAATAATAGTGACTACAGCTTTTATTTTATCCATCTATTCATCTCTCTTCCCCTCAAATTTCATTAATTTTTTATGTTCATAAATTTTTTATTTTCATATTTTATCTGCATCTGAACAAAAAAAACACCATCGGATGGAAATGTGTTAGTAACCCCATAAGAGAGGCAACATGCAGTAGAGGAGAGAATACAGTCCTTTGGAAACAGACAGACCTGAGTTCAAACCTGGTTCTGTCTCATACCGACCTATGGCCTTGATCTAGTAGCTTAATTTTCTGAACCTCAGTTTCCTCAGCTGTAAAACAGAGACAACATATGTGTGCAGGGTTGTGCAGATTATAAATAATAGTGTATTAATAAATAGCTAACATTCATTGAGTGTTCTCTATGTGCCATCTACTTTACATATATTAATTCGTTTATCACAGTGACTGTTAGGAATGCACTGTTACTATGCCCATTTTACAGAGGAGAAAACTGAGTGGGAAATTGAGTGAGTCAATCAAGATTATGTAGGAAATAACTGATGAAGGCCAGGATTTGAATCCCGACAGTGAGGCATTAGAACCTGTTCTTTAAGGAGCTTGTGGACAATCAATGAACTGTGTCATTGGGATCATGGCTTGCTTTTTATAAATGACATCAAAGTCACAGAAAACACTGCAGCTGACCTGGAACTAAAGTGCCAGCAACAATGTAACACCCCCTCAGCTCCACTTTTTAGGGGGTGGTGAACAGACGGTATGGGTAGCAGGCAGGAAGCAAGTTCAGAACCACCTCACTCTCAGTTGGCTTTCATCTCAGGATCCAGGCAAAGGACCACAGTTTAGACGGAAGAAAGTCGTCCCTCGAACAAACAAGACCTGCCACTGGATGCCACAGAGCTAGGGGGTTTGACATGTAGTAAAGTGGCCATAACTAAAGAAAGCCAGCTGCTGGCTTAGTGGCAAAATGAAAGCTTCTTTTTGGCCAATGCCATTACTGCATTTTGGATATGGACAAAATGAGTTGCTCAAATCCACTGATAACCAAAAGCTGAGGGGGGATCAGAAAATATGCTGAATCAAATGGTCAGGATCCAAAACTGATGAGAACTTTGGCTGCATTAATAAAAGTATGGCATCCAGAACCAGGGAGGTGATGGTCTCCTTCTATTCCACTCTAGCCAGAGCCCACCTGGGGTAACATCTTCAGTTCACGGCCTCACATTTGAGAGAAACAAACCAGAACACACACAAAGGAAAGTGACTAGTATGATGAAAAGAAAAGAGGACAAACGAGAACGGTTAAAAGAGCTAAGAACGATCAACCTGGGAAAAAAGAAGTCTTGGAGGGAGTAACGGCTGGTCTAGACGATACTAGCCCAATATACATCCAGTACTCAAATGGTTAGATATAAAATAGAAGTTTGCATAATTTGGGTTTAGAAGTTACTCATATCCACCCTCAGCCCTCCTTTGCTGCAAACTCCTTCAAGATTTGGCTGAAATATCACCCTCTTCTTTGCTTCCCCAATTCCCTCAGGCAGAGAAAGCTGTTCTAACCATCAGAGTCAGATACATTCGAGGACTAAGGAGACTTCCATTAGGAGGCTGCATAATTGATTTGCCTCCGTGACTGGCGATACCACTGGGCTGCTGGTTACTCATGGGCACTGCCTGTGTCCTACTCCTCTTTATCTTCCCAGCTTGCATTGCAGCGCTTGGCACAAGGAGGCTTAAGAAATGTGTGAAGCAATAAATCAAGGAAGAAAAGAGGTCAATGGTGAAAGTTGTATGAAGGCAGAACTGTTTAACCCAGGGAAAAACTTCCCAAAAAACAGAACCAACTCCCAGGGCAACGTGTGCCTGTCTGAGATGGAGATCTGAGTTGTACTTCATGGGAGGGTCTCCAAGGGTACTGGCCCACATGACTTCTGAGGAAACCACTTATCCTGCTTCCTGAAATGTGTACTCAAATCAGACTAGAGAAAAAAAATGGCCCAGGTACAGCGGCTCACACCTATAATCCTAACACTTTGGGAGGCCAAGGTGGGCAGATCACAAGACGAGAATTTCAAGACCAGCCTGACCAACATGGTGAAACCCCATCTCTACTCAAAAAAAAAAAAAAATAGCCAGGTGTGGTGGCAGGCACCTGTAATCTCTGCCACTCAGGAAGCTAACGTAGGAGAATCAGTTGAACCCGGGAAGAAGAGGTTGCAGTGAGCCAAGATCTTGCCACTGCACTCTAGCCTGGCAAGAGAGAGAAACTCTGTTTCAAAGAAAATTTTAAAATGCTGGAATTGCATATTTTCTTTTCTCCCTTCCTCAATAAAAACTCTCAACAATACTATGTATCAGAAGAAGGACATTCAAATATGCTTTACTCTTAGCAATTCAAATTGGTGTTGAAGGTAAAACATCCCCTATCATTTGAAGAATTCCTCCTAATCAGAATTCAACAGGCTGCCAATTTATCAAGCTCAGGGAGACATCGTGTTGTTCCGTGAAAGATGAGAAAATAAATATCTACAGCCAAATCTTCACTAATGCACATCTTGGGAAGGTCTTTTGCCAAAAGACATCTAAAGATTTTATTTAAAAAAAAAAAAAAAAAAAAAAAAAAACTATCTTCCAGGCCGTTTGTAGTGGCTCATGCCTATAATCCCAGCACTTTGGGGGACTGAGGCCAGCCGATCATGAGGTCAGGAGTTCAAGACAAGTGTGGCCAACGTGGTGAAACCCTGTCTCTACTAAAAATTAGCCGGCTGGGGTGGCGCACACCTGTAGTCCAGCTACTTGAAAGGCTGAGACAGGAGAATCGCTGGAACCTGGGATGTGGACGTTGCAGTGAGCCGAGATTGCACCACGGCACTCCAGCCTCATCTCAACAACAACAACAACAAAAAACCTATCTTCCAGATAAGAGTTACTTGGAAATTTGGAAGGGAACAAAATCTACTTATTCATTCAGCAACAATGTATTAAACGACTTCTCTGTGCCGGACATGGAGTCATGTCAGCTCAAGGCTGTTCTATGGGGGAAGGGGAGGGAGAAAACAACTTTCCCTGTGATCTTACCCGGTGTTCATTGATGAGAAGGTCTCGCGCAGCATTAAATATCAGCGTGTGGAGGTGCTTTGAATAAAACACCAAGGTGTAATCATAATCGAAGCCATAGATTTCAATGTCCGACAGGCTCATTTCATTGTTTGAGAAAATGGCATCTGGATTCAACAAGTTGCTCATAATGGAAGGAACCAATTCTGGAAATAAAAAAAACACATTATACTACATAATGAATAAAGGTTAGTATGCTTTCTGAAGAAAAAAAAAAAAAGGGTAAACTAGACCACAAAAGAGAATTGTTTCGCCTTGTAAACATGCTGGTGAAGGAAGCCAGCCACAGAGAACCACATGTTACATGACCCTCATAAGCAATGTTCAGAAATGACAAACCCAGAGGCACAGAAAGGAGATGCATGGTTGCCTAGGACTGCTGACTGCTAATGGGCACAGAATTTCTTCTGTGGTGATGAAAATGTTCTACAATTGATGGTGATGATGGTGATGGTTTTGGGGACTGAGATGAGGTCTTGCTCTGTTGACCAGACTGCAGTGCAGCGGCACAACCACAGCTCACTGCAGCCTCACTCTCCAGGGCTCAAATGATCTCCCACCGCAGCTTCCTGAGTTGCTGGGACTACAGGGGCACACCATCACACCCTACTATTTTTTGTAGAGACAGGGTCTCCCTATGTTGCCAAGGCTGGTCTTAAGCTCCTGGGCTCAGCCAACCCAACCACCTCAGCATCCCAAAGTGCTGGGATTAGAGACATGTGCCACCGTAACTGGCCAGTGGTGATGGTTGAATACCTCTGTGAACGTACTAAAAACCACTGAATGGGACACTTTAAAAGGGTGAACTGTATGGTATATAAATTATGTCTTAATAGTCCAGGTGCAGTGGCTCACACCTGTAATCCCAGCACTTTGAGAGGCCGAGGCAGGTGGATCACCTGAGGTTGGGAGTTCGAGACCAGCCTGACCAACATGGAGAAACCCCATCTCTACTAAAAATACAAACTTAGCCAGGTATGGTGGCACATGCCTGTAATTCCAGCTACTCAGGAGGCTGAGGCAGGAGAATTGCTTGAACCGGGGAGGCAGAGGTTGCAGTGAGCTGAGATTGTACCTTTGACTGCACTCCAGCCTGGGCAACAAGAGCAAAACTCCATCTCAAAAAAAAAAAAAGAAAAAGAAAATGTCTCAATAAAAGAACATTTGCTACTGAAAAGAACACTTGCTTCAACATCACAAAAAAAAGATTTCTTTGGTTTAAAAAAATACATGTTGCAGATTTTAGAAGGTAAAAGTATAGATAACAAAATGTAAATATCACACGTCATCGCACTACCCAGAAAAAACTACTAACATTTTATGTATTTGCTGCCAACGTTTTTCTGTGTATGTATTTTACATAGCTAACCTCACATTATGTGTACAGGTTTGCAATGAGCGACATTTAATATTCAATCATGATCCTCTTCTCATATCATTATTGACTTTCTGAGAATAAACTATTACGTGAGACTTGGATATATATTAGTGTGCCATCATCAAGCTACTATGGGTTGAGTATCCCTTACCCAAAACGTTTGGGAACAGAAGCATTTTGGATATCGGATATTTTTTATTTTGGAATATTTGCATTATATCTACCGATCGTGGCTCCCCAATCCAAAAGTCCAAAATGCAAAATGCTCCAATGAGCATTTCCTTGGAGCCTCATGTCAGCATGCAAAAGTTTCTGATCTTAGAGCACTGTGGATTTTAGATTTTTCAGATCAAGGATGTTCAACCTGTACTCTATGTTACATAATTAAGTTTTTTCCTATTTAATAAAAATAACATTGCAATAAGCATATTTATGTGTTAATCTTCACCTTTCAGATGATTTCCTTCAGAGGGTTTTGTAGAAGCGTGGCTACCTTCTACCATCAAGATCCACTGGACATGAGGTTTGGGTTTCTTTTCTGAGCAGTTCTAACTATTTGTAAGCACTGCTACTTCATGATTTCTATTTTTTTCCTTGGAAGCCTTTCAAAAATTCATTCTACTTTACAAATTTCCATGAGTCCACTGGGCCCTTTTAAAAAATCTAAGATGCAATAGGTGATGTTGGTGATCTTATTTTTCTAACATGCTGAAACATTTTACTATTTTATCGTCCTAAGAATTATTTCATCATTGCCGGTCAATTGTTGGCACCTATGATTTTTTAAAAGACTAAGAAAGCAGGAGAATGGTAAGAGATCACCTAAGACAGTGTAATCGTGAAATAGGTCATCACTATGACATCATTCATCATTGCCCAAAGAATTGCATCACTTTCAAAAAGGGATAGAAGAAGTCATCTTTGCAGGGTTTGGGTTTTTTTTTTTTTTGCTTTCATGGAACACTTGAGAAATCAGTTTTTCATTTTCCATCCATAATAGCAAAAAAAAGAAAGCCGACAGGGGAAGGCATCTCACGAGGAGGTGAATGCAGAGAGAGACAGCAGTTCTCTACAGCCTAAAGATGATGGAGAAACTGATCTTGAGGGTGATGAGGCTCAGATGATTAGGCTTCCATGACCATATGCTAAATGAAATTCAGGATCAAAGACTGAGCAATATATTTCAAAAGACAAAAAGGCAATGTGATATTCTCATCCTGTTAATCATTGAACAGGCATTCATTAAACAGGACAAACACCATCATCCAATATTTTGTGACAAGAACACAGATTGCCCTATTTTGCTAAAATTATACACGACAGTATTTTTTTCACTTTTTATGATGTTTATGCATCAAAACTTGCTTGAAACAGCTCTCAGGTAGAAAAATGCTAAAACAGCTCATAGGCAGACAAACACTAAAGGCAGGTGACTTTTTGGAGATAGGTCCACGTACAGAAAACTTCAACTGTCCATATTTTGCTACTTTTTACATTACTAAGGACAACTACCTGACTCTAGTATAACAGCTAATATTTATTAAGCACTTACCATGTACTACATGCTATCAAGAAGACTTTACATTATCTAATTTAATCGTTCCCACAACCTTAGGAAGCAAATACTACTTTATCCCCATTTCAAAAAGGAAGACACTCGAAACACATGGAAATTACTTAATTTGCTAAGGATACACTGCACCGAATGGCAGGGCTGGGATTTGAACCTGGAAAGTTTGGCTCCAAAATCTAGGTTCTTAACTCCCTTTCAGGTGCATTTTTTCCAAAAATAAAATAAAGTCAACCCATCAAGTTTGCTCACTTCTTCCTATGAATGGCACACAGTATCCACATTAACTCTAAAGAACCAGCTGAAACGTTCAAGAAGCACTCCTCTTGCATAGTAACAGCTTCAATCACGGCACTGAGGCCCCAGTCAGGGACCAACCCAGCCACAGTGAGGTATTCTGAGCATTCCACAAGGCTCCTTAACAGCTTTGAGATCTGAATCCCTTTAAAAACCTAACAGAAGCTATGGAATCCTCTCCATGCATGTGCAGATTTTAAAGAAAATTTCATGGGGTTCACGCCCTAAAGCCTGTTCATGGCTCCCAAATTCCCACATTGCCCTTAGTTTGTTGAAACCAAGCCTTTATATGCCTACACAGAACTTCCAGTCAATGAAGGCACATGTATGAACCAATAAATTAATTTCACTAACTCTGACAATCTAGATGTGACCAAGCCTATTGAAAACCCAGTCGATTCACTAACACTTCCATCTCTTCATTAGTTTTTCTTGCAACAAAATCAATGAGTCAACAACCATTGCATTCATTCATTCATTCAAGATGAAGTCTTGCTCTGTCAGCCAGGCTGGAGTGCAGGGGTGCAATCTCAGCTCACTGCAACCACCTCCCAGGTTCAAGTTATTCTCCTGCCTCCGCCCCCCAAGTAGCTAGGACTACAACTGCCCGCCACCATGCCTACCTAATTTTTTTATTTTTACTAGAGACGGGGTTTCACCATGTTGGCCAGGCTAGTCTCAAACTCCTGACCTCAGGTGACCCGCCTGCCTCTGCCTCCCAAACTGCTGGGATTACAGGCGTGAGCCACCGACCTGGCCACAACAACCATGGCTTTTATTTTGCTTTTGCCAGTAAGACATACCTGGTTACAGGCATTTTAAGAAACTTAGAGGCAGATAATTACAAGAACTGGTACTAAGAGGAGAAGCTGGCAGACCCGAGCTCTTTGATATCTAACACGGAAGATCCTCTGGCCTTATATAAATCAATGGGCCACTGCTGATATTTTCTGAGTATGACCACATGGCATCGTCCATATGATACAAGTAGGATCACTTAACATTGTGACCAAAAGCTCCACTTTCACAAATGACCTTTCCAAAGGAGGTTCGAACAGCCTGCTTAATTAGAAATTTATATTTAGAAATGGTGTTGGCAAGAAAGTCTCCCTCCCTTCCTGCTACCTGAGAACACTACGTGAAACCCCCAAGGAAAAACTATGATAGAAAATGGTGACTGGTCAACACATCTCTGAAATCTGCAAGGGAATTCCCCCCTGGGGAATCACAGGCATGTGATTCAGGAAAAGCCTGAGACATGTTCATCACATGAACAACAACACCTGAAAGCCTGGATTTTATAGTGTCATCCTCAAACACGAGGAGCGGAGTCTTTTTTTTTTTTGAGATGGAGTCTCACTCTGTTGCCCAGGTTGGAATGCAGTGACACCATCTCAGCTCACTGCAAGCTCCACCTCCTGGGTTCAAGCTATTCTCCTGCCTCAGCCTCCCAAGCAGCTGGAATTACAGGCATCCACCACCATGCCCAGCTAATTTTTATATTTTTAGTAGAGACGGGGTTTTGCCATGTTGTCCAGGCTGGTCTCAAACTCCTGACCTCAGGTGATCCACCCGCCTCGGCCTCCCAAAGTGCTAGGATTCAGGCCTGAGCCACCGCACCCAGCTGAGGAGCAGCATCTTAAAGGGATCTTGGCAACCCGTGCCAACTTTAAAGAAAAGTTAAGAACAAATATGAATAATTACAAGGCAAAAGAAAAGAATGCCAACCACTCACAAAAAGAGAAACAGTCTGGCTAAACTTTAGACTCTAAAGTATAAACCAAATGCCTCTTGACTAGTCAGTTTTGCACTGTCTCAAAGCAGAAACAAGAGTGGGTACCAATTTAGAAAGTGAATTCCTTTGTACATAATGGATGATGACAGCAAGACCATACAATCGG